AAAGAAAAACCATTCAAAAATGCGTAAAACGATTGGTTCAACAAAGCACTTCCCCCTCAAGTTCAAAGTCGAGTAATCAAATTTTGTATTATTGCTGCTATTGAACTCTTGTTAGCGGAATGGAAGTGTTTGGTGAACATACATGGCCCGGCTATGTTTTTGGCATTTAACGCATGATTGAGTCATTAAGATATGGAGTGGAGTGTCCCCTCCACTCCTCACCACTTCAACTCCAACCCTCCTCGACGGGTAATTCGATCCATGGAACACCGAGTAATTTCGAGCAAGTAAACCGATCTCTCATGTGTGTTTGCTCGCGAAATGCAAACAGTTGCCACATTTAAGTTTTACGAGTTAAGTTCATTTTCGATTTCGTTTAACGTCGCACGACCCAAGCCAAAAAAAAACCAGAACCAGTATCATAAAACTACTCAATCTGGCGGATATCGGGGGAGACTATAGGTGTTGGTTGTTGGGCATTCGGTTTCGTTTCATTTCGTTTCGTTTGAGTGATCCACTGATTCGATGATTCATTTGGTGGTTTTTGGTTTTGACTTGGATCCACAATATGCTTGGAATTATTATAAATGTGGTAAGTTGGGTAAATTTGCACTTCATCGGGTTCTTATGAGGGGTGCTTTAAGCGTGTTTGGTGGGTAATTAACATACGCCACTTCAAGTCACGGAAACAACTCTAAATCGAAACTTAAGTCTGGGAAATAGGAAATGATCTTAAGATTTAAAGAGAGAGAGGAAATATCAATTGATTCTGTAAAGAAAAATCGCGTTACAAATCAGTAATTTGTAGGGTTCCAGAATTATTTTTGAAACGGTTTTCGAATGGTTTTCTATTTCTGTTTTATTTATTACCCATAAAATCTTCTAATACATTTTTCAGGGTATCTAAAGATAGACTTTTCCGAACTGCAACATATCTGTCTGCCATTATTTCTACCCTTGTTATTCTATAATAGTGCAAAAATCATTTGAGAATTAAAATTTTCCTTATGGCTAATTATAGAAACGGCTGGCGATCTACGGATCTGCCGATCTGGCAAAGTTGAATAACACCGAGGCGCTGACACACACACTCGGCGAATGCATGTGCTTCATACATTGTGCAAATGTGTGTATATTTTTAGCGATATTTCAAACATTTGGCGCCGGCAATCGGCAAATGATTCTGTGCAATTTACACTCACGCATCGCTGGCAAATAACAAAGCGAGGAAATAGGGAGGGGAAAACTAAGAGGGAAAATCAAATCAAATGGGCGAGGGACGACACGTGCCACTGAACGCATTTTCATTACATTTTCCACCCACCCGAAGCATTGGTTTGATTGAATGTCATTTAATTAAATAAAAACCAACCGAGTTTTACTTCTGCTTTTAATTTTAATTTCCTCCGACACACATGATCCTTTATCATTTCGCTTAATAATATTAACCATTTCACCTTTGCTTTCAAATTCATTTTCGGCTTTAACCTTAGCTTGCTCTCTGTTTTTTCTTCTACTCCTTCTATGCCCAATGCAGCCATCATATCCTATACCAATCCTAAACTGCAAATCCCATTAATGGCGTCCGCAATATACGCGCCCACCACCACCACAACATCAGCAGCCACAGCAGCAGCCACTCCGACATCTGCATCCAAATTTGCATCTGCATCCGCATCCGCATCCGCTTCTGCTTCATTATCATCACCGCCAGGTTCATCATCATCAGCAGGCGATGGTCCTTTCCATGGATTTGTTGCCAAATTGCGTAATTTTAAATTCGACGATACGAAAAATATAAGAAAACGTTTTCATTTCGATTACATATCAAAGGACAGATTTTTGGGTATGTTTCAAAATTCAAACTACATTTTATTAACGTGAATGCAAAATATATATCAATGCGACTACAAGTATGGTACTTTCGGTAGATAAAGAAATTATATTTTACCATTTTAATATACTATGTGTACATGTGTAATGAATTAGTATTCTGTTTGATATATTTGTATGTAATAACAAACTATTATTTAGACTCAAAGTGTAGGACTTACTTATGTATAAAGAGGTAATTCTGATTATCCAGATATATTGAATTGGTCAGGTGATCATTTTGGGGTCGAAGGGCACTCACTATTACTTTCGCCATAGATGTAAACAGCGGGAAGGCCACGAACAGACTGAAGACAAACCGACAGCAGTACCTGTATTTATAGTCCCCGAGTAAAGAGAACAGAGAAAGTGAGAGCGAGAGAGAAATGGATATCTCTAGAGATGGTCAGAGAGAGACAGAGAGTAAGAGGCATCTCTAGAGATATACAGAGAGAGATAGACATACCGAAAGAGCGAGAGATAGAGAGGAAGAGTGAGAGTGAAAGGGGGAGACTATATGATCGATTTCCGATTCGATCCAATAACTCAATTGCAAACTGCAAGAGTATACCAATTTCAGCATCTGGAAGATATAATATATCAATCCTTACGATTATTTTTAATATCACATTGATCGCTTTATATTTAAATAAGATTTTCCTAACTAAACTTGGGTCAAATTAAACCCAAAATCCATGACTAATATATATTTAATACCAACACAAGCCTAGAACATCGATTCATGATAAAAAAGAGTTCATCAGAAACACTTTGTCGGCTTTGGTATTAAAATGATGTTATTGGATACGGTTCAACCTCATGGTTCCACACTTTATATGCACATAGTGTTTAGATCGCTCCAGATGATCCCGGCTTTTAATCAACCCAAATTAGCATTTTCATTAACCATTTTAGTTAAGTTTTTTTACGGGTTCGGCAATCCCACATTAGTGTCGATCTGGCCCTAATCCCAACAAATTCCCGTGGGTGTTCCTCCAAGTTTGATGGCGCCTCACGCTTGACACCCACACAATAAATTTCACTTCATTCAGAAAGAGCCGGCAAAGCAACTTAATTTGAATGTTTTATTGTCGCTTGACGCTACTTAAACTTCGACTTATGAATATTAAATCGTCTGGGATGGGGAGTTGGATGTATTCAGATGGAGTTATTAGTTTCCCGTTGCTAATGAAGCAACATGCACACCCCCCTGCTCTAGGTGGAACTTGAGGTTCATCATGTGCTCATCAAGACCAGATCTTTGCCACCTCCATATCCCCCACAAACAAACAATAAATAAATGTGGAAAACCTAAAACGAGAAAATGGAAAATCGGGTAAATTTCTAAAAAAGCTTTCAGGGCGTGTGCACTATCGCTGAGTTATAGTTCTTGACAACTGATTTATCAGTGATCTCGAGTCCCTAGCAGCCGCAGGTGGTGCAGTTGATTTTTTATTTTCGGTTGCACCACATAAATTCCACCGGAGCGTGGTTGGAGATCAAAGCTGCAGGAGATTCCCGGAATAGTAAAAGGAGAAGGAGGAGATGGTCCCCAACATACATATGTTGGAATGCAGAACTGCATTGCCACAGGTGTAAAAGGTAAAAGGGGGCGGAAAGTGCGTTAGAAAGCCAAAAGGGAACATGGTTGGGCTTTTAGTGAAATTTAATTAAAACAAGTTACAAGAGTCACTGACACAGCCCCATGCCTTTGCCTATAAAAAGTGCCATGCGCACACGTCATAAAAACAAGAAAAAAGTTGTGAGTTTTTTTAGGCCCTCTTCGGTGAAGGCCAGGGCGAGGAATAGAAATGGTAATGGTAATCGGCTAATTGAAAATTCCCAGCACGTGCTGCTATTTTTGCTCCCGTTCGTTGACAGTGGTACCGCACAGTGCGTGCTATAAGTATGCGCTTACCTTATCATCTGATTATGATGTTGGCTATCTACTTCCGCAAAATACGAATTTTTTCGCTTATCTGAAGAATATTTCCCATCTTATCTTTTTGTTTTAGCATGGCATATCATACACTAAGTAGCTCAGTGTTTTCAGATAAGAATACCAGGAAAATATTACTTCATTATAAACAAAACAAAGCTATTATTAGTCATTAATCTAAGCAGACAATATGCTGTTTGAAATTTTGATAAAGATTTCCCTGGACTAACATCTTAACAACTCTTCTAACTATCTATTACTTAGTAGGTATTAAAATTTCCATAATCAATGAAATATATTTTTAGACATTTTTTACATTGATTCTTTTACATACTAATTAAATTCATTATGTAAATATTAAATATCAACTCGTTATACTTTCCTTTGCCACTGTGATCATCCGTTTTGGCTCTGAGCCCAAAACACTTAAGTTCTTCTTCGTTTGTTCAACAAACTGTTTTGCCCTTTTTAAAATGAGCTAAACATTAATTTTCTCCTCAACTTGAAATTTTCGCCATAGTGAGTTTTAACGATCAGTTTGAGGCACTGCGGGGCATATCGGTTTTCCACATGTCGTTGTCGACGCCCCACTAAATGGCCCGCTAACATTTAGATTTTTCCAAGCACTCGACTCTTGGCCAAATTATGCTATAAATCAATTTGATGTTGCCATCAATTGTTTACATCCGAGATTCCTATATATATTCATATGCTGCAACGGCATGAGAGGAATTTTCAATCCGAAATAATTAGATACAACGATCTATAAACAATTTTTGAATGCACTGAAAACAATCAATTAATTGGACAAAGCATAAACTTTATGGGCGAGACGTAAAAGATACATACATCTGTGTAAATAAAAATGAGGGTGTGATAATTTCTGACAGCCTATAAAGTTCTTTCTTATTTTCTTTTTGAGGGGAAAGAACCACAGAAAATATGAATAAAACTTGGAATTTATGAGTCGCAGGTCTTTACGAAATGTTATCATACCTATTGGAAATTTTAATTAAAAAGTTTAGAGATAAAAAGCATAAAACTCTCTTTGATGGTTTATGTAAGGCCTATGGAATTGTTACAATAAATTTTTTAAATTCATTTTATATTTTATAATGTTGCATAATATTGTTTACAATTTTCTTTAATTTATATATTTATTAATATTTATTTTTTGTTCAATTTTCAGGCGGTCAACTGAAGACCAAAAATGGCCAAAAATATGTATTTAATGGACCTCCATCGGGGGTTTATGTTTCCAAGGCGTGCCTGATCATCGCCGCCTTCATCTTCCTGGTGGCCCTGCTTTTCTCCATTGCAATCACTTACTTTGTGACCCGACAGGGAATCAGCCCCAAGGAAGTGGGTTCCGGGTGAGTAGTGATGGGTTTGGTAAATTGAAACCCAAATCAAATCCAGGCGTGGCTTTGCTTATTTAGTGTTCTCCGGGTATTTGTTTTCTGTGGTTTCGTTTTGCATTTTTCTTGCTAAACGTTTTGGCAAGCGTGCTAATTGGCAGTCGAAGGAGAGACGACATGACCTCATTCGCAAAAGTGAAAGTGGTTTAAGGAAGGGTCCTCCCAGAGAATTGGGTGTGACCCGGGGGCACTTTGCATGAACTCAAACTTGATTACCAACTGGTTCTACCTCTTCCGTTTCTTATAGAAGCATCAACCCATCATCTGGCGGGGATCATCCCATCCAAACCGCTGGCTGGGTGAGTGTTAACTCACCGCCGCCCACGGATACGCCCTCGCTGACCACGAGTGCACCACTGCCTCCGGAACTGCCGCCCATTGTGGAGCAGGAAAAGAAGGCTGTGGTGGCTCCGCCAGTGGGTGATATACCTGTGCCAACGACAGAAATCGAGGATAACACCACCAAGCCCACGGATCGACCCCTCAAGTTGTACGAAGGCTGGCGACCCTTGCACTACAGGTGAGTTGATTTAATAATGTGCCATTAATGGGGTGGCTTCTTAAGTAATTTCCCACTTAAGCTGCAATTGCTCCTAATGAAAATCACCGTCCCGTCAAGAGAGCTCCTTGTATTAAATTGCTTTGCATGTTTGCCTTTCGATTCGCGGAAAGATGCAATCTCAACTGACACTCAAATTGTTCACTCAGATCTCCCCGGCATTTCCGGCTCTCTCTATCTTTTAGCTGTCAGTGGGAATAATGGCGGAATTGATCCAGGTCATGTCCCGCCGACAGTTGACGGCGCTCTTAATCAGTTTGCTTGACCAAAGTGCATCTTTCGTGATGTTGTGTGTTGTGACAAGTTAAGAGAACCGCCTGACAAGTGATATAAGTTTGATAACTAAATCGTTTAACTAAAGATGCTTAGAAGAGTTGTTTAATGGGTGGAAAATCAAAGCATTTAAATATCAGGTTTTTATAAAAGGGGTTTTAAGTGCAAAATGAGGAAGGGAAGTCTATGATAATTAGAATGAAAAGTGATTAAATTGAGAGGTATTTAAGTTGTCAAAACTATAGAGTGTTTTGAGTGTTAACTCAGTTTAAGAGGGTATATTTTTCTATTGCATAAATATGATAAATATGATAAATATGATAAATATGATAAATATGATAAATATGCTAAATATGCTAAATATGCTAAACATGGTTGCCTCCATTTAACTCTTCTATATTTCGTGCCCAGAGGAAACAGGCTCAAGTTGTCCCCAGACATTAGTTTATTAAACCTTCCTTCCTTCTCCACTTCCTTGCCCCAAATGCTAATACATTGTAATGGGATTAGGAGGCCAAACTTCTTCTCATAAATATCGTTTCCCACCCTCTGATTCCTTATAGTTTTATACCCTTATCTTTATCCTTGGCATCGGCTAAGACCCGCGAACTGTTACACTCGCATCCGCCCCAAAAGTCAGCCCCCATTGACGTCACAGTTCCTGGGGTCGTGTGTGCACGTTTATTTTTCTATTACCACTGTTACCTACAAACTGGGTCAAGGATTGAGCCGTCGCAGTTCACTTGCTCCGAGGTGGACACCAGCCACTTGAAGTGGCCAACATACAGCTTGTTTAGGTCGCCGCAGGAGATGGCCATCTTCTAAGAGGCAACTAAGACCTGACAACCATCGGTCACACTCCAGAACTGAAGGCGGCAAAGATCTAAGAAAACCATAAACGCACGCCGACTGTCGACATGACATAATGCGCCAGATACTTGCGCCGGGGTAGACGCTCCGATAGGAGATGGCAGATACTTTGGCCAGATGAAGATGCGCGGCTCCGCGGTAGCCGCATTGCATTAATATAATTGACACAGAAAGCCCAAGCTGGGCATTAATTCGAGCACCGCACGCAGCCTCAGACTCCGGGGAAAAGTCGGATGAGAAGTCAGGAGAGAAGCTGGAAAAGTCGTAGATAAAAGTCTTGGCAAGTCGATGCTTGATGGATGGTGCTGCACAATCCAGCGGATCGATGGCAACTGATTTTGCAGCTGCCGATCAAAGCAACACTGTTGACCAGTGTATCTGCAAGATACCCTCACTCACTCCCAGACTCCCATTGCAAATTGCTAGAAGCCCGCTTCCTGGTTGCCCCAAGCGCACGCATTGTAAGCCAATCGCTTCAATTAATTGCAACTAGGCGCAAAGCCAGCACCCAGGGGATTCCAGATTGGCGGAGGCCTGAAGAATGGTGAATGGTGGATACGGTGGCTGGAGGCTGGAACTCCAGCAGGCCACCACATCTGCCACTGGGTCTGCGGCATTCTTGGCATTCGTGCTGGGGGGAATTGATATTTAATCTAAGAGGCAATACCCTGCAGAGCCTAGATTGGGTTGGTTTGGTTCCTTTAAAAGTATGTTATATGTATCATTGGAGGAAGACTGATATTATATTGAAGTAAAACCCTAGAGAGACTTTAGTTTCTACCTATAATATGAATTATTCACAGCTTAAGGTGGATTATTCAGGTATTCAATTTGAAAAGCAATAGAATATTTTTTAATAGGGTACTCCATCTTCCATCAACTTAACCCATTCAATTATCGCGCTTGTTGTTTGGCTTTGATTGCCGTGGCGACTTATGATGGCATGCATTTCATTTGCCGCCATCCGTGGACATTCGAGGCGTTCAAAGTTCGAGGCAGATCGCAACCAGAATTGCATTGCCCCCGAATGTGCATCCAAATGGGTGCCAAACACATGTGCACAGTGTTCTCCTGCCTGAACCCGCGGTTGACTGATTGATTGATTGGCACTTTTGACGGGGCCAACCTGACATTTTTGGCAGACATTTGCATTTCACCTGCAATCTGGCGTTCTATTTTTATGATACTAACAAGTATGATGATGCCTTCTTATCCTCCTCTCTGGCAGCCTGCTTATTGAACCACATGTGGAGGTGTCGGCCAGCAATGGCAGTCTGACCATTGAAATCGAGCGGGATGTCTTCAAGGTGACCAGCTGGGAACCCATTGTACTTGATGTCCACAATGTGAGCATCTCAAATGTTCGAGTGATTAGAGCTCCATTACCGGGCAGGATCAGCAATGCCAGTGATGAGCAGGAGGTGGACTTTGACAGCGATTATGGTGATGAAAATGGCACCTTTGTGATCCATCTGGACAAAGCTCTGTCCGGTGAGACACAGCTGCGACTGCTTCTGAGCCTGGACTTTGTGAGTCAGCTGACAGATACTCTGCAGGGCGTTTACAAGACCAGCTACCTTAATCCAGACACCAAGAAGACTGAGTAAGTTGCTTACTTAAATAAGGAATACAGCTCCAAATACTAAATTAATCTCTTTTTACTTTTAGATGGGTTATCAGCACTCAGTTCTCCCCCATCGATGCCCGACGCGCCTTCCCCTGCTTCGATCGTCCCGATATGAAGGCCAACTTTACCATCAGCATTATCCGGAGCAACGATTTCAAGATGTCTCTGTCCAACATGCCCAAGGCACACAGCACTCGCTACCGTCCTGGCTACATTAGGGATGACTTCCTAACAACTCCCAAAATGCCCACATATCTGGTAGCCTTCATCGTGTCCAACATGGTGGATGGACAATACGCAGCCCTGGACAGTGAGATGGCGCCGAGAGTGGAGCTCTGGACAAGATCACCATATGTGGAGATGACCCACTACGCGTACAAGATGGTGCGCAAGTTCCTGCCCTACTACGAGGATTACTTTGGCATTAAGAACCAGTTGCCCAAGATCGATCTGGTTTCCGTACCAGAGTTTGGATTCGGAGCAATGGAGAACTGGGGATTGATTACCTTCAGGGACTCTGCTCTCCTTGTGCCTGAGGATCTGGAGCTGGCTTCTTCCTCATACCACATGCAGTTTGTGGCTGATATCGTTGCCCATGAGTTGGCCCATCAGTGGTTCGGCAATTTGGTGACACCCAAAAGATGGGATGACCTCTGGCTGAAGGAGGGCTTCGCCTGCTACATGAGCTTCAAGGCCCTGGAGTTCTCTCATCCAGAGTTTCAGGTAATGGACACTTTCACCGTTTCGGAGTTCTCGGCTTCGATGGAACTGGATTCGGACAACACCTCGCATGCCATATCCTTTGAGGTGCGCACCACCAGCGACGTTCAGCGTATTTTCAATCCGATTAGCTATTCCAAGAGCACGATCCTGCTGCGCATGCTCAACTCGATTGTGGGTGATGAGGCCTTCCGCTCGGCCACACGGGATCTGCTAAAGAGGTTTGCCTATGGCAATATCGACAGGGATGACCTGTGGGCCATCCTTACACATCATGGTCACGAGCAAGGCACACTGCCAATGGATTTGTCCATCAAGCAGATTATGGATTCGTGGATCACGCAGCCGGGCTATCCTGTAGTCAATGTGGAGCGTCGAGGCGCTGATTTAGTGCTGCGTCAAGAGCGCTACCTTCTGCCCACCAAGAACCCTGCAGACCAGAGTCGCTGGTTTATACCCATCACCTTCGAAACGGATGAGCTGCACAAGGGCGACAATGTGCCCACACACTGGATGCGTAGCCAGGACGAGGAGGAGCTCATCGTGAGCGACGTCTTCACCCATAGTGCCAACAACGACAACGTGATCTATCTGAATCTGAACCGACAGGGCTACTACCGGGTCAATTATGACCTGACCTCCTGGCTGGCTCTTAAGAAAAACTTTAGCATGCTGCCAAGGATAACGCGAGCCCAGCTCCTGGACGATGCCCTGCACCTGGCGCAGGCAGAGTACTTGACCTATGATATACCGTGAGTTGTACAGTAAAGGAATTATAAATATTGTTATTAAATTATATATTTCTGCAGTCTTACCTTCCTGATGGAGCTATACACGGCTGTGGACGATGAGTTGCTGTGGAGTGCCGCCAGTCGGGGACTCAACTATCTCGCCAACAACCTCAAGAGAGAGCCCGCCTATGAGACATTTAGGGTGGGAATTCCTTAAAAATATCATGCTTCTTTATACTTACTATATTTTTATAATTTTTCTATTAATCAGGCCTTTATGAAATTCATTGTGCGTCCCGCCTTTGATCGGTATGGTTTGAATGAGCCGGACAATGAGTCGCATCTGCAACTGCAACATCGAGCCCTGGTGGCCAACTTGGCCTGTAAATTCAACTACGATCGCTGCACCCAAGTGGCTCAGATGAAGTTCCGAGAGTGGATGCGGGATCCCAAGAAGAATCCGTGAGTTTAACACACCTCCTTATAATATAAGTTATCTAAACAAATTCTGTTTTATATTAAACAGCATCAAGCCGAATCTCAAGTCAGTGATTTACTGTACAGCCCTGGCAGAGGGCTCCTTCCAGGAATGGTACTTTGCCTACAAACAGTACAAGACAACAACGAGTGCATCGGAGAAGGAGGAGATCCTGGGATCACTGGGTTGCACCACCAAGCCCTGGCTGCTGTCCAAGTGAGTGTCCAAAATACTTTAATTAAAGCCAGAATTTAATAGATTTCCTTTCATAGGTACCTCAACATGACCATCAATCCCACTTCGGGCATCCTGAAGCAGGATGGAGATCGGGCCTTTACAGCAGTGGCCTACAATGCCGTGGGTCATGAACTAGCCTTTGACTTTTTGCAGAGCAACATCAAGGAGATTGCCGAATAGTAAGGATTATAATAGTTAAATTTTAAATAGAATATATATTAATTTTGTGATGATCCCCTACAGCTATGGCGATGGCTTCTCCACTGTGTCTGCGATGATCAAATCGCTCACTGTCTACATGAACAAGGACTATCATAAGCACAAGCTGCAGGACCTGGCTGCCACCTGTCGCAAGCTGGGCCTGCGGGCCGTGGAATCCACCATTAATCTGGCTCTGGAGCAGGTGAACAATAATATCTACTGGCGCAAACACTCCTACGACAGCCTAAAGATCTTCCTTGAGGGCATCGTCAGCGAGTTCCAGATCAACATCTTCTAAGCCGATGGGGAAAACTCAAATTGATTTCAACCAAAAATACGCGATTTAGTTTATGTAACAACTACCATTATTTGTATTCATGCGAAGGCCTCAAATTAATTTAATGAAACGAATTATTTGCGAAAAGTGATATAAACGTGTAAGTTAGCCAGCATAGTTTAGGTAACCGATTTACTTTTTGCAATTGTATATTTATTTATTTGTAAGTCGCGCTTCTTCTGCTTCTTGGCATTGCTCTGCAACGTTCCTACTAAAAATAGAAATCAACCGGAAAAACACACACACATAGTTCGATCTTCGAATAGCTCTCATTCACCGCATCACTTTAGGCGTCTGTTTTAGGCCACACTTGATATACTATATATATAACTATATATACTGCAAATCTAATGCTGCTTGTGTAAAATTTGTATTACCCCTACTTATGAGTGTCGAGTACTTTACGTTCGTATACACCCCTAGGTCCTAAGCGAATCAATCTAGCACTAAGCGAACCAAAAATCTATTTTGTAGTGAGTCCAAAATCAAGGTGGGAAGGAGGAGGAGAAGTCGAGAGAGACAGGAAACCGAGTGTCCTTAATGCATGGTTTATGAAATGTTGCTGTGGCAAGGAGAGTACATCCAAACACACACAAATATATTTATTAACGTACGAGTACCTATTATATGTATTTTGTAAAGCCCAACACACACGGAAATACTTGTATCGCTGCTGCACAACCATGTAAATAAGTTTTAAAGCTTACACTAAACATTTAAATAAACTATGTATTTACGTAATTTTATTCAAAACGAAAGATTGTTATTTATTTTTTGGGAAATTGGGCTAAGGTTTCAGGAATATTATCGCTTTATTCTTTAAAATTTACTTTCTGAAGCTGCTAAATATATTTTCAGTTTTCGATATGTAAATTTGGCGCCCTGCGTTTGAATTCAAATCCTATTTATCTCTGGCTTAGGTCGATATTTATCGATATATTTTTGGGAGGAAATAAAAGTTAAAAAATAACCATAACTGAATCGAAAAGACATTAAAAGCTTTTGATAGCTACTTTTAGTTAGGATTATAAATGTGCATTAATATTAAATTAAAATGTTTGTTAATATTTTTAATTTGTAACAGCATCCCTGGTCCATATGTTCTGGCATTTTTAGCATTCCAATATACGGTCATACTAGCCATAAAATAATTGTAAACAAACAAAAACTCGACTTAAAAAGTAAGTAAAAGGTTTTAAATATATTTCTTGGACATGAAACCTAATTATTCCCGCGTTTAGTGTCCAGCCGGAGGAAGTGGCAGCCTTCGGAGGAGGACTGCTTCATCGAGATCTGGAAGAACAACCTGTACCTGTTCGATAGTCGAAAGAAACTGGTCGAAATTTATGCTGAACTGCAGAAATATTTCCGAGAAGTAGGCATCGATATAACGGGACAAGTAATCAAAAGCAAAATGGAATCTTTGAAACGAAAGTATTTCAAGTCGGTATCTAACACTAAACTGTCAAAACTGGGGCACATTTCTACATATCACTCCAATTTTCAGTTTGTTGCACGCTAACCGAGACGACCAATCGAGTTCCTGGGAGCACTTCGACACAATGGCTGCCATTATATCCGCCACCTCTAAAGGCATGTCCAAGGATCCGGACTGGGACGACGTAAATAGTCACCGTAAGACTTTATTAGGGGTTATTTAGGAAATATTCTAATGTTACTTCTTGCAGACCGACAGCACAAATCAATTTATATGAACGATGACGCTGAAGGGCATATTGAATCCGGTTTGTTTAATCCTTAGCATGCTTAAACCCTCCTATTAATTGGTATTTCTTGTAGACGGACCCTTTAACTCTGTCTATGTGGAGGAGTGTACCAAGTATATCTTCAAGAACGAGGATGGCAAACGCTCAAAAAAGAACACTGCTGAAAAGAAGAGACAGAGAGTTAAAAAGACACCTGCAAAACAAAGACGATTCTGGTACGCCGCTGAGGAAATCACATTTGTTAACGTGTGGGAGCAGTTCAACTCTGAGTTACTAAGTGAGCGCAAAAAGATGGATGTCTACAAGGACATGGAACAAGAGCTGTCCGGCCTTGGGCTCCATGTGACCCCAAATGATATCAAGTCCAAGATGGAATCGCTGACCCGCACATATAGGTGATCACCTCCTCCTTACCTTCTGTAGTTCTATTATTTAATTTTGATTTATTACAGAGCTCAGCGGAAATCTGCTGGTGATAAGTCACAGTGGATTCACTACGCCAAACTGGCTATATTACTGAGTCCCCTGGAGCCTATCACGTTTGAACCCTTTCCCGACACCAGCAGCAGCTCCGAAGACGATTTGCCCTGGCTCAGCGAGATGGAGCCAAAAGTTGAGTTAATCGACAATCCCACAAACTCCAGCGACTCAGCTGTCCATCAGTTTGAGGATTACAATCAGCCGTACCCTTCCAGCCCTTCCATTGACATTGATTTTAGTCCGAGCTTAAAAGTCGAAAGAACTGAGAATCTCGGACAAATAGAAAGACCTGCAAGTGAGAGACAGGCGGCGACTGAAGAGTTTGGTCAATTCGTGACCAAAGAGCTGGCCGTCCTGAATGATGATTTTCTTATAGAAGCAAAGCGTAGAATATACAATATCATATGCACCATGCAAATGAAACAAAATGATCTTAATAAACTTACGTAATTAATTAAAATCATTAAGGTACTTTTTGAAGTAAGATAGTAGTTAAATATATAGTTATTCTTTGTTTATATAAAAAAAATTAATCAAATGAATTTCTGTGAATCTTGGATTATCACAAGACTGAGCTGTTTACAAATGACAAATTAATGAACTGAAACAAATTTAAAGAATATAAACAATGACAATCTCTTGAATGGCATCAATTTATAGAAAGTTTCCTTGATAAGCTGAACATGATGTACTTTTCTCAAGTCTTTATCAACATTGCGACTTGTTGGTCTATAAAGTCAGCTTCTTCCCTCTCGGATTATCAGTTCTGTTTAATTTGGCATCCAGCTCAGACTTAACAATATGAATATATATATCATTGTGGGGTAAGTATTCCCTCCCACACACATTATTTTCTTACTTAAATTTACAGTTTTCAGATGTTTTATTCTACTTTTCTTGAGCCCCCTCTGCATGGGCTATACATTAGATGAAGCTCAAACTGAAAAGCAGAGAGTTATCCAAATTATGCAAAGCTCCCCGGATGTTCAAGACAAAATCAGAAATACACCAAACTTAGTGGCTCTATATAATCGGGTTTCACCCTATATGCCTACCAGACAAAGGCAGATGTTGGACAGACTTGTCGCCACGCATACGGATGCTATATTGGTGGATGGTGTGCCAAGTCAGGGAGGACGCAAGAGCAAATATGCAGCCAAAGTGCTATCGACTGTAGCTCGAGAGACGGCAGTTGGATTTTTTAATGAACTGGGTGGAGCAGTCTACAATTGGTTACTTAGTTTGGTTCAAGGGGATTCGAACAGCAAGAAAAATATGTTATGAAATTAATTTCAAAATTTTAAAAAAATATATTTAACAAGAAAGGAAGCTAACTTCGGCACGCCGAAGTTTATATACCCTTGCAGATAGAACTTCTATGAATAAAAACCATACAATACAAATTATATATCTTTGTGTTAAAAAACAATGAAGTAAGTAATACCTGCTTTCATTTCATTCACCTATACATATTATATTTGCAGTTTTACATTCACTGATTTGCATTTTTCCTCCACATCAAACGATCGTTTGTATGGCACCTATATGATATAGTCGTCCGATTTTCATGAAATTTACCACAAAATTTAAGACTTAAATTAAATGCCTATACCTAAAATTTGATGAAAATCAGTTGAAAACTGAAAAGGTTATAAATTTAATTGTATTAATTTCTCGATCGTTCCTATGGGAGCTATATGATATAGTAGTCCGATTTTCATAAAATTTTATGCAAATTGTAGAGTATAGTAAAATGGCTATATCTCAAATTTAATCCAATTCTATTGAAAACTGAAAAAGTTAAAAAATTTTTTGTAAAAATTTTCCGATCATTCCTATGGCAGCTATATGATATAGTCGTCCGATCCGGCCCGTTCCGACATATATACGAGTGAGAGTATATAGAAGGCTAACTACAAAGTTTCATTCAGATAGCTTCAAAACTGAGAGACTAGTTTGCGTAGAAACGGACAGACGGACAGACGGACAGACGGACAGAAGGACAGACGGACAGACGGACAGACGGACAGACGGACATGGCTAGATCGACTCGGCTGTTGATCCTGATCAAGAATATATATACTTTATATAGTCGGAGGTGCCTCCTTCACTGCGTTGCAAACTTCTGACTGAAATTATAATACCCTGCAAGGGTATAAAAACTGCTTTGTCGCAAGCAGTTCATGTAAAATGTGTGTAAAAAATAATAAAACATCAAGCTGTATTAATGCACTGCTCACCTATTTATAAAAGCATTGACTGAGCTCTACAAACCAGTTAGTTATATTTTCCCCTTTACCAAAAAGTCTTTAAAATTAATACTCTTTTCAAAAGAAATATAAAATAAAAAAAATAAATTATCAGGTTCTACCGAGATTTGAACTCGGATCGCTGGATTCAAAGTCCAGAGTGCTAACCATTACACCATAGAACCGTGCTGTCACTTTTGCACAAAACAAAACATAGACTGCAGCTAGAACCATTACTGTAAATGACCAATTTTTCGCTTTTCATATTTTAAAATATGGCATAACAATGAGAGAAATAAAATTATAAACGGTTTTGAACGCAAAAATTCATTAAAAAAAGAAGGAAAAATAATTTCGATTCAGAAGGTTCTACCGAGATTTGAACTCGGATCGCTGGATTCAAAGTCCAGAGTGCTAACCATTACACCATAGAACCTCGATGTCGGGGTGCTGCTAAAGTACACTTTTGTGCCTCAGCCTCAAATCCTGACAGTTGGGGATGTTTTTACTATAATTAAAAGACTTTCTGTTTTGTGAAAATAATTTTAATTTTTATACCATAAACAATAGAAAAAGCAAAGATAAGATGTATATTGTTGTGTGAAAGAATTTTATACCATAAACAATAGAAAAAGCAAAGATAAGATGTACATTGTTGTGTAAAAGAATTTTTACCATAAACAATAGAAAAAGCAAAGATAATGTATATTGTTGTGTGAAAGAATTTTTTGAAACAGTTTTTGTCTAGTATTCAGTACAAGTATTTAAAAAGTTTTCAAATAAATTCTAATAAATATTCATTTTATTTGAATTTTAATTAATTTTGATAACTTTTACGTGAATTGTCAGACATATTTTAATTTTACTATAAACCTAACTCCTTATATATTTTGGTAACCAAGCCAGCCGGCACTTTTATGCTTGATCAATAACTTCGATTCAAAACAACAAACCCAAAAACAGGTTTTACCTTCAGTTCGTAGTGCAAAATAATAAATAACAAATAATGCAATCGGAAAAGAAGAAAACTCTCTTGGAGAAATATGAAATACCAATAAGCCACCTGGACTTTGCCTACGTGGAGACAGCCAAAAATGCACGGGAAATGGAGAAAATTGTGCACATCCTGCGCTCCGGCGAGGAAGGATATTTTCCAGACCTCTTGCGATGCTCAGAGGAAAAGTTGAAGCAGCTGAAGCCAGATAGTAAATTATTTCGCTACGAGGAGGATATCAAGAAGAGTGATATCCTTGACAAGAAGGAACTGAAACCCATATTGGTTGGTTGTACTAACTATTATTTTAAAGTTTTATGAGCTTATTAAATTCCTAATTGCTTTAGGATTGGACCCAAGACATAAAAACAAAGGATAGTGCCTTGAACGAGTTAAAGAACGAAAACCAGTCCCTGGATATACCTTCCATACGTAAACTGGGCAAAATCGAGTTGGATAAACCGAGTCCTGGGCCAACAAAGCCTGCCCCAGCTGCAGCACCACAGCCGGCAAAGGCCAAGGAAAGCCGGATCAAGTCAACGGACTACAGTAAGTGGGATAAGTATGATCCCGATGAGGAAATACTTCGCATGGATCTGGACGAGGAGCGCAGCAAGGAGGAGGCCGATTTGAAGATTCCCATTAAAGATAAACCGGTTACCAAACAAGAGTTGAAGGACGAAAAGAAGGCCATGTATGAACGCCTTCAAACTCAGCTAAAAAGACTTAGCCCTCTTGAGCGTGAGCAATTTGCTGAAAAGTAAGTGTCTTTTAGTACTTTGCCTTAATATATATACATTTTTTATCTAATTTTTAAATTTTTACTTAAGACACCGACTTCGTGGAAATGAGTATTTCAAGGCCAAGGAGTATGACAGTGCCATAGAAGAGTATAACTGTGCCATTATATATGATCCTGAGAATGCAGCCCGGGCCTACAACAATCGGGCTATATCTTGTAAGATTTACTACTGTTTTATTAGTATTTGTTATATTAATATAATGAACTAATAAATTGCCTTGAAATTATTTCCTCACAGATATGAAACAAAGCAATTATGTTGCTGCCATAATGGACTGTGAGGCGTGTTTGCAATTGGAGCCGGAAAATATAAAGGCTCGTCTTCGCCTGGCGGATGCCCACTATGCCAAAGGAAAACGTCGCGAGGTAAATTAAAATTTAATTTAAAAAGAATGAGTTCCATTTCCCTTTCTTCTTAGTCATATTACCTGTACCAGCGTGTGCTGGAATTGGATCCGGAAAATGCCAGTGCCAAGCAGTCTTTGAAGAATTTAAATTCCCAGTTTGGTGAACTGGCTCCTGCCAGTGCCACGCGTTTAATGATCGAGGAGCTGAAACCTGAAGTCGATGGTGGAAAATCCAAAGAAAAGCCTGAGGTTAAGCAAGCCACAGCAGCAAAGAAGGCACCACCATCCGTAGCCAAGAAGCCCCCTGTGGTCGACACTCCGCCAGTTAAGGAATACGATCTGGCCGAGTTGGTCAAGCCAAATCGTGTGGTCAACAGCAAACTCGTTTCGGCCGCCCAGGCCTTGGGCAATAAGCTTCAGGCTCCACAGGCCAATTCACAAAAGAAACCAGCGCAGCCCAATCTGTCGGCCAACGAAGCGATGCCTTCAATGTTGCGTATGCCACAGGACAACCTTAAGACTAGCAATAAGCTTCTAATTCAAGAGATTTAATTGTAAATACAATTGAAATGAAAATAAAGATATAGAATGGCAATGGGATCGCATCTCCTGGATCGCATTCAATTACTGCTGAAGCAGTTTCTTAATGTAGCGACCCACGACGAGGAAGGGTCGTTGCTCGAACTCGTGCTTCTGGTCCATGGCGATGGTTACCTGGAAATGGTATTTTATTAGGTTATTCTTTCAGTAATTTTATAGTTATTTCATTAACCTGATCTCCATTGAGTCGATTGATAATGGTCACACACACGTCACCGGCCTTGACCCCGATCTTTTGGGTCACCGAGGCAAACATGCTGGCCTCCATCTCAATGTTGAGGATGCCCAGGCTATGGCACTTCTTCAAGAAAGCCATCTTATCCTCGTCGGAGTACTCACATATGGCACCATCGGTACGTCCCTGACCTGGGTCAAGTGAAACTCAATTGAGCAATGCATTTTTTCCGGGAACTTGTAACACTTACCCTCGTAGAAGCAGTCTGTTCCCATCGTATTGCCACTTACGGTTTGGAAACCATCCTTGGCATCAACACCATATGCCATGATGTCCTTGATCACCTCCTCGGAGAACTTGGCCGGTCGCACCACACGCTTACCGAGAATGGCCTGTGAAGTAGATTTAAAAAGTCATCATGGACTTAAAACATTTTTCTTAGCAGTTTTCTGTATATGTTTCATTAGTTATTATTTGCGATAGTCACTTACAATCTCATGTTCATTGCGCAACAGACCGTTGAAAGCATCCTTGGTGACCACAACTGTGCCAGGTGGTACACCGAGTCCTCCACAGGTTCCGATTCGCAGGAAGACGGGATCCTGGCAGCCGGCGTATTTGACCAACTTGAGCAGCTCATGCAGGACAACACTGAATGTGGAGGAGCCAACGCCATGGCTGCAGCACAGCACCGGTCCCACCTTGTACATGGCATAGCGGTGTCCTCGAGCGCAAAGATCCTGCGGATCACTTGAGTCCGGTAGACCCAGAACCTCTGACAGGTAAACCGCTAGAGCACGCATGCGGGAACCAGTGCCACCCATGCAGATCACCTGCAGAAGATATTTTCCTCAGAGTTACGAGAGGTATAAAAATTCAAAAACTCACCTTGACATCCCCGAATCTCTGCTGGATGTCACTGGTGTCTTTTGTGTTGGCCACATTTATATCCAGGTGGTACAAATAATCCGAGGCCATGGCCTTCAAATTGGGATTTAATAATTCGGGAACGCTGTCGATCAAACTCATCAGGTTATCTTCACTAAAAAATATATATATGAAACCTTTCACTTACCTCTTGGACATTTTAAGTGTGTTTCTAAGGGATTAATTTTGTAACAAAAGAGAGAATCTAAAAACAAGAGAATATATATTTGTTTGGGATTTGGAAATATATATTATTTTATATACAAGTTCTTTTTTCTAGAAAAATGTTTGCTAATGCCAGCAACCGAGTGATCATAATCTTATCTATATACTCAATGCAAACTTTAGTTTTTACACATATAGACAATTGACAACATTTAGATTATAATCTATAGAAAGGGGAATTACAAACAATTTCTTGTTGTAACATGCAGCACTCTTATGATGTTGTTTTTATTTTTGTCAGAGTATTATTTATTGCTAATCAAGACACGTGCCAGCGAAGACACTTGTAAATTATAGCACTTTCCACTAACCCACACGATCCGTTTGCCTCGACTGCTGGCAATAGACTGAGGAACTGGACGTTGGAAACTGTCCCGCCTTGCAGTGTATATATTTTTGTCAAGAGAGGCAATTGAAAGAAAAAGAAAGGGTACTCGGAAAAGTGAAGAGTATATTCTATTTCTGAAAATTATGAAAATATAGGACCAGATGTAAAGAATAGGTTGCCGACGATTTAAGCTCAATAGCACCTTTTGGGATTAGGAAGAGGTATGTAGCACGTTTAAGAAGTCTTCATGATCTCATTTGTATAAGGACTCATGTACCGGGTATTTCCAAGTCGATCAATATGTACTTTGGCTTACTTATTAATTTATATTTACATTTAAGTTGGAAGATGAGACATTTACATTTTTATCTATGCTGTAAATTACCTCGATTAAAGTGACTGAGTCTGACTGACTCAGCTGAATTTCAAATTGCTCCCAATAATAATAATAAACACATTCTTGTATAATTTAATTACAATTTGTTTTTAATATATCATTGAAATTTTTTTTTTTTGTTTTTGTTGTTTTGTCATAAATTTCGTTTTTACAATATAACTTGTATATTTTTCATGTGCTTTCCGTAATCATATTGATATTAATTTTTCAGCATTTTTTGTTCTATTTGGTATTCTTCATTTTTTACGTTGACAGAACTAGTTAGATTAAGATTAACTGCTGCTGGTTTTTGGTTTAGAGTTTAGAGTGTACGGTAGCAACATTAATCAACATGTACATTTAACAAATGTTTAGGAATTTCAATATAATATAATAGAATAATTTATGAAATTTGAATTTAGTATCAATTATTATAGTTAAGTGTATTTATTATTGTTAAACCTTCTGCTCGCTTAGCCCCATTTAAAATATGCAACATAACAATTAACAATTATATTTCATTTTAATATATGATTCGTGATTTTTTTGTGATCTCAAAAGCGTTTATTTTCTGATAACCTTTGAACGTCACACCCGGTGATGTTTTGTTTTTATATATATATATTTTATTATATATTAGATTTGTGGTAACATAGCTCAGCATTAAGCAGCTCAATGAATATACATACAATATGCTGGGGTTTAAATTATTTTATGAGGTTGAGAGGGCGATATACACAGAAATAAAGCTAGGAACTTAATCAGAGCTAAACTAGGGAATGTTGAAACACCATTGTATACTGGAGAGATGCGCACATACATATATATATATATATAGAGTAAGAGAAGGTAACTTTAAACGAAACTCTTGGATTCCCTCGATTTTCCGATTACTCGTGGGCCTGGGACTCCTGCTGGACGAGCTTGAAGCGCCTGGGGGACTTGATGGAACCCTGGTGACCAAAGAGCGACTTCAACTGTCCATTGTGCGACAGCACCTTGCGTATATACCGCGCCACAAGGATCTGGGGACGCTGTAATAATAATAATCTCTATTAAATAAAATCTTTTGAGCCAATATTGATTTTGGAAACCCACCTGCTGCCACTCGTGCATGACCTCCTTGGGGGCATTGACTTGGTCGCCATTTAGGCGATTCAATAGGGCCACACACACCACCGCAGCCTTGATGCCGGCATGGTGGGTCAGTGCCGCAAATATGGTGCTCTCCATCTCGATGTTGACCACTCCATTGTCGCGCAGCTTCTCCAGATAGGCCATCTTATCGTTCTCGCTGAACTCACAGAAGGCACCATCTAATCGACCCTGACCCTCATAGAAATCATTTGTGCAGAGTGTCTTGCCAATGATGGTATCATAAGGATCATCGGCAGTAGCCAAGGCTTTCAGCTCGCGGGCCAGCTTCTTGTCCAGCTTGGCAGGACGGTGAACGGTCTCGCCCAGAATGGTCTGTAGAGAGAGGGAACAGAAGAGTTTAAATATAATTTATATAAAACTTAGAAACTCAAAAAAAAAGGTTAAGAAACAGAAATACTAATATTTTTATAGAAAAACTTATTTCACTTTCACAACCTGCTGGATAACAATTAGTTGCTTCTAAAATGAGTTTAACAAAAATATCTTTGAAAAACTCTTTTAACCTTAACAGAAAATAATATATTTCCCAAAAAGTAATTGAGATTTAAATGCCTGTGTTTATACTCTTGCAATGGTATTATAATTTTAGTCAGAAGTTTGCAACTCAGTGAAGGAGTCATCTCCTTATAAATATATAAAAGTATATATATTCTTGAGAAGTAGTTAACTATGATCAGTAAGTATCTATGGCCAGCAAGTAACAATAATCAGTAAGCACTAATGAACATTAATTAACTATGAACACTAAGTAACTATGAGAAATAAGTAACTCGGAACAGTAAGTATCTATGATCAGTAAGTATCTATGACCACTAAGTATCTATGACCAGTATGTATGTATGACCAGTTACTAACTTTGAACACTTATAAACAATGACTTGCAACTTTTGTAACACAACACATATCTTAGACTTGGCTGGCAGAAGTCACTTCGTTCCGGGGATGTTAGAACCAGTTGGGAATCATATGCACAGATGTGGGAGATTTGTTTAGGAGCCCAATTAAGCCACTTGAATGAAAGTATGGAGTTATTCTTCCATATAATTTTACTAAAATATAAGTCAGAGCATGCTAAATCGGTGGACTATATATATATGTATATATATCTGAACAATAAGACGATTAATAGAACTATGAGCAGTAAGTAACTCTGAACAGTAAGTATCTATGAGCCCTAAGTAACTCTGAACAGTAAGTAACTCTGAACAGTAAGTATCTATAAGCCCTAAGTAACTCTGAACAGTAAGTATCTATGAGCACTAAGTAACTATGAACAGTAAGTAACTATGACCAGTAAGTAACTATGATCAGTAAGTATCTATAACTTGTAAGTATAAATGACCAGTAAGTATCTATAACTTGTAAGTATCAATGACCAGTTACTAATTTTGAAGTCTAATAAACAATGACTTGCAACTTTTGTAACACAACACATTTCTGGGACTTGGCCGGCAGCAGTCACTTCGTTCCGGGGATGTTAGAACCAGTTGGGAATCATATGCACAGATGTGCGAGATGTGTTTTGGAACAAATTCTAGCTACTTGAATGAATCTATGGAGTTATTCCTCTATAAAATTTTACTAGTATATAAGTCGGACCATGACGAATCGGTGGACTATATATATATATATATATATTTATATATCTGAATAATCGGACAATTTATAGAACTATGAGCAATAAGTAACTCTGAACAGTAAGTGTCTATAAGCAGTAAGTAACTCTGAACAGTAAGTATCTATGACCAGTAAGTATCTACGACCAGTAAGTAACTATAATCAATAAGTATCTATTACCAGTAAGTAACTATGATCAGTAAGTATAAATGACCAGTAGGTAACAAGTATCAGTAAGTACCAATGAACATTAAGTTACAATGATCAGTAATTAGCTATGAGTAGTAAGTAACTATGAGCTAAGTATCTATGAACATTAAGTAAATCTGAACAGTATCTATGACCAGTAGGTATAGGTGAATGAAATGAAAGCAGGCATTACTAATTGTTCTCTATATAAATATATATAATTTATATGGTATTAATTCCTAGGGTATACTACTTTCGGCGTGCCAAAGTTAGCTTCCTTGACACCCTCTAATCATACTCACAAATTCATGGGAATTACGGAGCTGTCCATCCAGAGCATCCTCGGTGATGATGACAGTGCCGCCCTCAACGCCTACACCACCACAGGTGCCGATCCTAATGAAGACGGGATCCTTGCACTTGGCATGGTACATCAGCTTGATCATCTCGTGCATGAGGATGCTGACGGAGGGTGTACCCATGCCATGACTAACACAGAGCACGGGACCAACCTTGTACATGGAATAGCGATAGGAGTAGGCACTGATGTCCTGGAGTTGGGTTCCAGCTGGCAGCTTGTAGCCAATCTCATTCATGATGAAGTGGGCAAAGTTCTCCATGCGCTTTGGTGTGCCACCCATGCAGACAAACTAAAGAGAGAGAAAGGGAAATGTTAGTTTAAAAGTTATTATTCACTTAGACTATTCTGTAACTAGTTCTTAAAAGCGTATATTATCAGGCTTCATTAGGAAAATTTAATAAATCCGTCCAAGCATATTATTAAGTAAATTGGTTAAGCAACTCGTTTCGATGGTGCTCCACTTGATTTGATAACAAACAAGGTCTAGGTCTGGGTCTGGTCTCCGCCGCTTTCAGCCGGTTCCGATAATGAATAATTCAAGAGGCCTGACTCACCTTAACGTCGCCAAACATCTCCTGCAGGTCGTGGCTCTCGCTGCCCAGTGCCAGGTGATAGAGGATGTCCTGGTCCATGAGCTCGATGTTTGAGTTGCGCAATTTGACAGTGCCATCGGAGTATCTGTAATAAGGCAAAATGCAAATTAAGTTTTGATCTATAGCAGTCATTATATTACCATAAGAATCCCCTTGGGGCCGAGAGAATGGAAAAAAGTTAATTACTTTTAGCTGACAAGTGGATTTGACAACCTCACTGAAAACAGCTTGTGCTCTGATAAAAAGCAAATGTTATCTATTTCCTAGAAACTGAGCGAACAAGCCCCCAAAAGTTTAATCAGCAGGAATATATATATATTTCGTCATTATTATGGCAGAAAATAGCATTGCTTATTAGTCGGTCTAAGTTTATTCTATATATATTATGCTTTTAAATTTAAAAATTCCCATGACGGTTATAAATATTTCTAATTAATTCAAACAACATATTTTTTGCCACACAATCGTGAAAAGGCATATAAGCTTTCATTTATATTGGGTTCAAAGGCCAGCTTTGAATTTCGCTTTACTAATCAAATTCTGAATGGTGAAACTTTGATGTATTTGTGACATTATTTATAGAGACCCCCCCTGTAGCAGGGCTGCCACCGCCCATCAATATTCCATTATCAAGTGCGTCAAACGGGCAAATAGGAAAAAATCATGCTAGAATCATGAGCAAAACAAAAGCGAAATTCCTATGACTAGAGCATAATCACAAAAGTATCTCCGCGGTGACTTGACCTTGATTGATAAGCAAATTGTATATATTTACTTTTCGAATTTCTTATGTCGTAAGTTCTATGACAAACATCCGATTATTATAATATATATAGAAATATATAAACAAAATATGATTTGATGGCATATGAAATCGGATCACAGCGGAAAACAGCTGCTGACTACAAAAAAAATAGTAGAAAATTTCTGAAATTGAAGACAGGGTAATCGCTTGGCCGACACACCCACCGGCCTGTGCAAATATTTGGCCAACTGGCAGAGCATTTAGCTTGAATCTCTTGTGGGTTGGCCCACTGTATTTTGGCTCTGGCTCTCGCCTCGAGGCAATACTTCTTCGTGTTGCTCTCAGAGTGCCATGGATTTGGGGAATTAGTGTGCCAACAAGGCATACAGATTTGTCACACAGCTAACTAAAGACCGCATTGCAGCAGCTAGATGCACAGTTTGATTAGTCAGTACAGAGAGAGAAATTAGTGTGTCTAAGATATATGTTTACTAGTGAAGATTTAGGGAAGAAACTAATAATATTCGAATTTAGGAGGCCATATGTCGTGAGATATCAAGTCGTTAAGATATCTAAAATAAATTAAGTTCGTCATACGTTTTACACATCTTTTAAAAGATTTTCTGCACTGTATCTTTATTTATTTGATGAATATCACCTTCTTTATATAGTTTCCTTTGCATTTCATAAGTTTCCCGCCAATTGCAACAACCCCTAGTCCTGTCAAAGGACCAGCTGCAGCTGCAAAAAAATATATAACCGGTTTTAGGATCCTTACCGCGTTATCTTTTTCACGTACGCATCATCGGTCTCATCGTCCTGCAGCGAGGACCTGTGGGCGCAATCGTAGTGAGCCTTGAAGTCATGCGACTGATTAGCGGTTATGGTGGGCGGCATGATGATGATGTCACCTCCTTAATGTCCTTTTAGGAGTCACAACAACAAAAACTACTAACGCACGAGCCGAAAAAAAACTAAACCGGTGGGAAGTTCCAAATAGAGAAATTATGTGTACACGTCAACGCTTCAAGCGGAACTAAAAAAATGCTTGGGTTTCGCCGGCCCTTATATAGTCCACTTAACAGTGAGCTGTTAGATGGCTGTTAAATATAAGCACTTAACAGAGTCGTATCAGACGGAATGTACACATGTATGTTAAGATGTGTATATATTTAGCAAACTATGGCACCTCCAGCTTATCTCTAGCTAGAAAACCGGGAGTCCCAGACTTATGCTGCGCATACGATTACACAAATTAGAATAAATACTGAATATAAAATAATATTAAAACATATATATTCCATTTCCGATGCTGTAATAAAAACGTGTTCGTCGCCGCGCAAGGTCTCTGATTTGTTATCAGTTCAAAGCCTCCTCTATGCCAGGCAACTGAATCAAGTGCAATTCTCAGGTTGAAATTGCATGGAAAGCATAACAGATTTGCGTAATCCAATTATTTGCAATTTTGCGATTTTATTTGTTATTACAAACAGGGTGTTCGCAGAGGTTCGATCAGCCGGACCCATTGCCTTAATTCCGCCAATATGCAAATTGATTTTGGAATATTTAGGCATGCATATTTTAAACTGGTTTTTCGGACACCGCCATTCGTTTCACATTCTTCAACTCTGATATTTGCAAATGAGATGCAAACAAACCTAACATTGTGTATAATTATTGGTTTATTTTTATCATGTCTCGAGCACCGTCTTACTTGTATTTATTTACTGACAAATATGTATACTATTATAGTTAGTCCAGGAATGTGAAAGACTGCAGCTACCACCATTACAGGCCTAGTCAGCTCTGCGTCATACGTTGTCGGTGCTTTGTTGTCCAAAGGCAGGCCATAAAATATACATAAACATACGACAGCTGAAGACAGGCTCAGTGTACAAGGGAATAGCTAAACATATATACTATATACTATATGTATGTCTTGTATATAAGCAAACAAAATGCGAGACAATCAGCAGAGAAAAAGAAAACTGGAACAACACAAATAAAGTAAAGGCAAAAGCTCCAAAGCCAAGTTATGAACTCAAAGATATCCATTAAACTATAGATCTTGATTTACACTACATTACTTATGGGGTTCATTTGAAAGCAGATTTTATACTCAGATATTATACCTATTTTCCATCTAATTTAAAATTTGTATTTGATTTTGATGTCACACATGACATTAATTTAATTCGAAAATTAATCTTTTGCTGCACTGCAATCTTTGTATATATCTTATACTTTGGAGGATATTATAAATTATAATATATTTATAATATATATCCCTTAAGGTTTACAAACTATATATTCCTACAAAAAGTCGCACATTACATCATATTCCATTTACAGGGTATCAAAAGTAATGAAAAGAGCAAAGGCAAAAGCAAAACAAACTAAGTCCAAAACAGGCAAAAAGGGGGCTCGTCTGTGTTGGCTCAGCAGTCCCCAAGAGAGAGAGAGAGGGAGAGCAATAATAACAGAGACAGAAAGAGAGAGGGAGAGGGAAAAAGAAAGAGACAGGCAGAGAGAAACCGAAAGAGAGGGGCAGAGCTGCGTACTTAATGTACGTGACGGGGCTCACAAGTAGATTTTTGAGGTCGCTCTCGAGCGGCTAAGCGTTCGGTGGAATTCAGTTAATGGCCAAAACTCGTAATTAACTTGGCCAACAGAGGATTCATTGATTGAATTCACCAGCTGCAAAGCCAAACAAAATCACTGTTTACATAAGCCAAATGAAAAAACTATTCGAAAAAGGTAACGAGAGTTTCTTTGATGTTTGTTTGAACTCATTAATAAACAAAAAGCCATTAAAAGTGGTGCAACTTTATCGAAAAAGCCAAAGCCTATAGTATTTTTCTCATATCATGATAGGCAGAAGAGAGCTTCTTGAGAGGAACCCTTGGTAACGTGAGATGAGTAGACAATCTTGGCCATTTCAAGTCTTTTCTTTGGGTCATTCCACTTGGGTACTCAGCCTGTGTTAACTTGGCTGTCAGTGGCAGCAACAAATGTCAGTGGCATATACATCTAGTCTTTGTGAGTCTTGTGAGCCCCTCATCAGTGAACCAACACACACACTTGAGCTATTTATGGGTGACCCAGAGTGGGTTAAAAATATTCATATGCTGAAGAAGAAATTTGTAAACCATAGATTAAAGAATTCAATATTGAAAACTCTTTTAATCTTAGTTAATCTGTACTTTTAAAGCCTTTCTTTGTATAACAAACTTATTTTCCACTGAATTATATTTTATAAGTAACTATAGTTCAAAAATCGATTCCCATGAGGGGAAACTTCTTTGAGACTGAGTAAAAGCTTTGCCAGCATTGAAAGAGTTTTGCGTTTGTCACGTCACGGGTTTCGACCATTAATCAGAGAGCTTTAAATGGATCCTTTAATGTGGGTAAGCCCATTCAGCTGCTCACACATTTCCTCCTCCTTTATCCCCAAAGGGGCGAAATTGTAATTGCATTTTCCTGGCCAAAGCTCTTAAGCGTTTCTGCAGGCCCCCGATAAGACCTGGCCGGTTAATTGCCAAGGGCAAAGGGGCGAAAGTCAGGGCAAAAGACCAGGCCAAGTCCACAACAATGAGATGGAAAATGCAAACGAAGCTGGGTGACAATGCAGGCCAGGCGACTGATTAAGGGATCACTTTCTTTACCAACCAGAAAGTAAGAAAAGAATTGTTTAAGCAAGAGTCAGGGCCAGTCATGATGGTCGTGATGTCATCCCAAATTGCATTACTCACACATCACTGGCACTGGCACTGCCCAGGAGTCGCACCCACTCCGATTTGGTTGTGGGGGCGGTTTGGCTGGCTGGCAATATGGCTTTCCGTCGGCCTGGCATATGCCGGTCCCTGTTCCAATCGATAATTGTCTTGTTATTGTTTCACTGGCTTTGAACTTGGGACTACTGTGCGTATGAGCGATGTCGAAAGGGAAAGGGAGGGAGCGACACCCACTCCACAACCAAGGTCGTATAGGGTTTGATAATAGAACCGCAGGGTGGGTTTCCCGTTCATTATCACACTTTCCCCGCTAGAACTTGCCAAATCATGGGTTGCGATATCCACTATTTATAGGTTTTTGCTGTAGCTGACATAATACCGAAGGTCCCGGAATACTGATAGCTAAAATGGGCCAGTAATTAATGGCAATTTGTGTTTTGCCGCTGTTATGCGATTATGCTTAAACCAATTAGTAATGATTTCCCGTCATTGGGGGGGAAGTGTTCCAGGAAGAAATTGTAATTTGGCAAGGATGATGAAGCATTAAGGCAGAAACAGGTTGGAATTCAATCAAGATATTAGAGATATTGTGAAGAATGGAGAGAAGTTAAGATACTTCTAAATGAAAATGTAAATTATAATGAATGTGATAAGAATTTCTTTGGCACCTCAAGAAAAGGAATTTATTCTTCATCCCCAAAAGAATGCTATCTATTTTCGTGGCAACCTTCATAGCAAATTGGTAACACAATTGGCACACCGGCATGTTCAACCACCACAACAGCTCCCTATTGTTAGTCAGTTAAGAAGTTTTGTCACCAAAGTTGAAATTTATAGCCCTACCATTGTGGCTGTTTTACCGAAGTGAAAGTTACGGGCGAGTAAAAACAAAAACTTTGAATTAAGTCAGCCCAAGTTGGAAGCCAGGAGCTGTTAATTCCTGGCCAAGTTGGTCGAAAGTTGGTCCCCAAAGTTGGTGCTATGCGGGTGGTACTTACTCGTCGAGTTCCTCCTCCGAGAGCGAATGGCTGTTGCCCGTGAGCAGAGACATCTTGTGGTGGAATCCTGCAAAGAAAGGAAAAACACAAGCAAAACCGAGAATGAGAAATTAAAACGCAAATGGAATTTTAATAGCTCGTAATTCCGATGTGCAAATTGGCAGCATCTTCTCGAAAGGGCACGCTAAGCCCATTTAAATGCTTCTCACATTCGGAGGCCTAAGCAAGGCACGTCTTGGGCTGGAAAATGGGGGCGTTAAAGGTTGACAAAGCCACAAAACTACACTAAGGAAATGCTGTGTTTATTTAATTATTCAATTACATTAATACATATTAAGTTGATTGAGGAAATAAATTGAATTTGAGTTAAAAGAGTCAAAAACAATTTGTTCTCGATTTATTTTATAGTTTTTTTTGGGACCTTAGACCAAAAATATGATGCATAAAAGCCAGACAAATTACAACAATATTTAATAATTACAAAGAAATGTATCATATAAATGCCAGGAACCTGATTTCCCTTTCTTAAAGTTCGAATTAAAGAATTTAAATTTATCCATTAATTAACCAAATATTTCTGTTGCGAGGGCTTATCGCCTGGCACTTTTCGCATTACTTTTTGGCCAAGATTGGACACGTTTTAGCCAGCCCTTCCTCTAAAAGTTATACCAAGTATCTTTCCATCTTTTTTTCGTTATGTTTCTTTTTCGCTTTGGCGAAAGTTCAAGGCAACCACAATTAGCTTGACCAGGGAGCAGCCACTCAAAAGTGCCGAGGGCGTAGGACTGCGAGGACTGTCCTCAATTGTCCACTTTGTTTACTTGTTGCAGCCATATTTACTTGGCGCTGGCATGCCTTGAATTTAAAATAAGGGATAAGGGAAGCAAAGGAAACTGTTGCATATACTTGGAAAGGACTTGATATAAGAGCTAGGGATTATGTTTGAATTATGAGGAAGATCCTAATTCAATTAAGTTTAATTATTCCATTTTTTTTTTTTTTTTTTGATTTGTTTTCTTTGTGTACATGAAAAGTGGGTGAAGCGCGCACAAAGCGTTTTGAAGGCTTTTAATTAAAAAACGTCAGGGAAACGTCACGTGCCAACATCAATGCGAGTGCTCGTGAGTCCTAGAATGGGTGTTTTGGGTGTATATTCAGGGAGTCCTTGAAATGTTTGCAGACCCAACCGGACTAACAGCAAAATGTTTTAGCGCTTCGTTTTGCGAGGGCTTATCCGCCTGGCACTTTTCGCATTACTTTTTGGCCAAGATTGGACACGTTTTAGCCAGCCCTTCCTCTAAAAGTTATACCAAGTATCTTTCCATCTTTTTTTTCGTTATGTTTCTTTTTTCGCTTTGGCGAAAGTTCAAGGCCAACCACAATTAGCTTGACCAGGGAGCAGCCACTCAAAAGTGCCGAGGGGCGGTAGGACTGCGAGGACTGTCCTCAATTTGTCCACTTTTGTTTATACTTGTTTGCAGCCATATTTACTTGGCTGCTGGCTATGCCTTGAATTTAAAATAAGGGATAAGGGAAGGCAAAGGAAACTGTTGCATATACTTGGAAAAGGACTTGATATAAGCAGGGGATTATGTTATGAGATTTATTGGAAGAGACTTTAAGAAGCATTTATTAAACAGAAGTTCCTGAAGGTTTATCGCAGGCTCATTGATTCTCAGGAGGATATCTTATGGTAGAACCTTTTTTAGATTAATTTTCTATATTAACCAACTGTTTGAGGACCTCTTCAACGTGTTATTTAACATATTCTTTCCTAAGAAACACAAGCAAAAAGCTTTCTGTTATTATTTGATACTTTCCAGTTCAAACCTCTCACTGGCAAAGATCAATCATCCCCCTGCGTCTTGCAACTCGAATAATCCATTTCCGTTTTTGCAAGCAATGTTGACCCATTAAAGTGTATGTAGCCTTGAAAGCGTTTGCTGAACCGTTCCAATGAACAGCAATGCATATATGTATATATCCAGCTGATGCAGGCAGAATAGGAGCAAGATATATACAATGGGAGCGCAAAAAAGGGTTGAAGGGTGTGAAGGGGTTGATATAATTATCTTGTTCCCTATTCTCCCGAGAACTTTTTCAATTATTTCAAGAATCCAGCTTGCAAGCAGATGTGACAAGGCGGTGTGTGTATCCTGCGACAGGATAACATTAAGAATTGAGCTATTGATTTTCTTCACAGACAGCATTAACTGAGAAAGTTTTTCGTCGAAACTACTTGGACTATAACATATATATGAAATATATACGATTTTCCTGTCCTGCAGACTTACGTAAAGAGTTCTAGGTGTTTTTGTTGGGGGGTTTGGAGAGAGGGTTTGAGTTACAACTCTCCCGATATGCACACAATAAATGAAAGCAAAGCACTATTTCTTTTTTCCGTTGCGATACACTGTGTGTGGTATTTCGATTGCTTTGTTTATCTGCAGGCACGTGAAGCTAGTAGTAGGAAGGCTTTCTCTCTCTCCCTCTCTGTGGCAGCTTTTCCCCCCTTTGGGTTTTCGCACAGACACAGGAATACGGATACGGAAAAAGGGCACACGGACACGGAGAGCGACGACCAGAGCTGCGCGAGGTTCAAGAACCAACTGACGAGGGGAGTCCCACCAGGCGAAATTGTTGACTCTGCCACTCGGCACTCGGCTCACACTCACTCACATTTCTCTCACTTTTCACTCAACGCAGACTCACTCGAATCTCGCTATAGCTAGGGGATATTTAATTGCAGTGTACAGTTGAGTCAATAAAATTGTTTACAATTTCCTCGAAAGTCTAGAAAAGAGAAAAGACGGAGTGAAAATCAAATAGAGAAGAGGGGTTTGTGTGCAACAGCTGCTGCGCAGACCATTACACAAGCGCCTGCCTAATTACTGAGTCCTGTGGCAACGGACATATCACACTATGGGCAGGACCTGGTCCGGATTTAATTATATTTCAATGTGCACTTAAAAATCTTAAAGGTGTTGAAAAATTGAAAAACGGACAAGTCCCTTTGGGACACCATGGCGTATACGTAATTTAATGTGGCAATGTTGCGCATACGCCATGTATGCCACAGCATAACATCGATGCAGGCCATAAAGCAAAAACAAACCAAGTTGATGTCTGTTTATTCATTCCATTTTATGTGGGTCGTAAAACGTTTCCCATTGAAGCGGATTGAGGATTTTATTGAGCAAAATTGTATCAGACACTTGCAAAGGGATTTTTCCTAATGGAAATGTTGCTTCAAGTGGAAAGTCTTTGAATAAATTAGAATATATTCTGTAAATACAATCAAGTAGAGGGTGACAAAACAAAGGGAAAGTATAATGTTGTATGATCAAGATTATTTATTAAACCAAAATATTTCAATAAACATTTCCACATTCTCTAAGGGTAATTACCGCCAAATGTTTACCCAAAATCTACTTTTTGTTTAGCTATTCCAAAGTATTTTCTTCCTCAATGCCAAGGTGATGATGAGGCTAGCATTGAGAAAACAAAACAACCAATTTAATTTCTGTAAAAATTTTCCCTTTCGATGAGATCACAAACAGTTGTTGCCCAGCTTAATTAATTGTAATCAATAGCGCTTTTTGACTTTAATTTGACATTGAAATTCAAATAAATTTTCTCCTGTTCTTTATTGCTTAATTTCCAAGCTTTCACAGGCCGACACACACACAAAACATCGCCATGCTCGGCTGCCTTCCAGACGGAGATAATAAGTCCAACATGACACGACACCGACATGGGCAGTAAATACGAATTACGTTGGCCGGAATAGGCCCCGCCAGTGGATGGAGCAAGAAGTGACAGTAAAACGGTGACTAAACTGTTCGCTTTGATGAATTTTCGACAATCGAGTGGAGGCTCTGAGCTCCTCTTGATGGCTCTGTAAAATGCTCAGTTACTCAAGCATCCGTGCAATTGCCGGCAGTGACAAGGAGGAAATCTTAAGAGACATGCCCTCGAATTTCCATTTCGCTGCATAATAATAATATTAAGTATTTTATGCCGCGACTAGCAACGGCTTTATGTCTCATGGGGCACGCAATTGAGGAGACATTGCTCATACGCAACGTTGGCCGGATCAACAGTTGAGAACCGAGCATATGGTTGATTTGGGGATAAAGACCGTGTCCAACCATTAAGAATTTTAATATCAGACGCGTGTCAATGGCAAGGACACTAAAATGAAGGAGTGTATATAAATGAGGTCAATATAATTTCATTATAATCGAAGGGATATAAGAATGTTTTAGGTGTTTATCATTAACGTTAATCAAAAAGAAAGAAACTTTTAATAAATTCAATATTTTCTGGCTTGAATTTGAATAAAATTTCACTATAAATACATTTAAGAGATATAATTGATATCTAAAGTTAAGTTACCTTTAATTTTTATTTATTTATACTTCTTAATTCTTATTCTTATTTCCTGTTCAATAATTATACCCTATAGTTGCTTTTAGGCTCTAAAGAACTATTGAAAATCCCCGGAAAAAATCCCTGCATGTACTTGTTAAATCGATATATTATTTTTGGTGTGCATTATTATTTATTCAGTGGTCCCTGCAGGTTTCCCTGACTTACACGAACGCCTACGCAGTCGCTCATTTCGTTGATCTATTTGACAAATAAATACTACTTCGTCGCGTTGACACACCACTTCGGAGGCATTTTCCATTTTCCATAGCCAGGCGCATCTGTTGTTGACCATTTCCGCTGCGAGTGTCAACAAGGCCTACCTACCAACCTACAGAGCAAGGAGCAGGGCGAAGCGACAAGGATGTGGCAGGCCGGCATCCAGGATGCCTTCCGTTGGATGCCACCACGCCCACATTCCACCACGCAAAAGCGGAAACGTTGCTCCTGGCCACCACCACCATTTCCGCCCAACTCCCCCATTGCTGAGCATTCGTTACGTAACCAAAACAGCTCTCTTTCTCTCTCTCTCCGCTCTCGGAGAACAATATTTTCTGCATCGAAGTGCGTTGAACTTGGCCCAATTCAGCGCAATTTTGAGTGAGCCACATTTCGTTTGAGCCTTTTTTTTGACGCGTCTCTTGCCCCTCGGCTGAGCTTGGGTGGGGCCAACGGCTCCTCCTCCTTGGGCCTCGCGGGAGGCGTCAAGCAAAATGCGAGCGTTAATCTTTTTTGCCGCTTATGATGATTATGGCGGTTGAGCACGACGGGTACTGTGGGTAGATGTCATTATAAATCTGTAGCTTACTTTTATTATTATTTATGTATAGTCTAGGCAGTAATTTAACTATTACTTATAAGTATAGAAACAGTTTTCATCTATGGTAATCATTGTTTAGAAGTTGTACAGCGTTGTATAATTTATTTGTTCACAAAGAAACAAAGCGGTTATAAAAGCTTAAAACCTATTTAATAATCAAAGTTTAAGTTTTAATTCAAGTAGGAACAAAAAAGAAAACTAACTTCAGAGAGTTTATATACCATTTGCTTTGGTATTAAAGGAACGAATCAGAAATTTCTCATAAATAAACCTAAAAATTCACATTCTTTGAACTATATTTATTGATATTTTATATGTCAATTTAATCGACAAATCACAATTCTAAAAACTCATAACTAAGTCAAAAATGCATTAATTTTAATGCGGAAAGCTTTCCTATGTTAGTTTTTATAAGTTTTATAAATCTGCGTAATCAATTTAAAATTTAAAAAAAAATAAAATTTGGATATATATATTTTTTTAATTTTAACGATGTAACCCCTTAAACATTTTGAAAAAAATTTCAAATTTTTTTGTGCCAAAAACACGATAGATCGCTTCAGAAGTTTATGCTGATCAAGAATATATATGATTTACATAGTCCGAAATGAGTCCTTCACTCGTTACAAGCTTCTGACTAAAATTAAAATACCCTTCCAAGAGTGTAAAAATCATAAATTAAAATACATTTCTCTAAATTTTTTCTCTCTGAATGACGAAACATGTAAATGATTAAATTTAAACGCAAGCATTTCATTACAAACACCCCAATGCTGTCGTTAATTTATATCTAGCTTCCTAATCTCCCGCCATCATTCATTTTAATGGCACCCACCTTTTCCGGCCAGCAAGGATGCCTGCGGTAAGCCGAGACACTTCGCTAATGATCCCAAACCGCAAGTCCCTTGAGGGGGTCTGACTCGGGGAAATGCGGGAAATGAAACTCAAAACTTGATTTGCGTTTTGCTTTTGTTGTTTAAAGATCATATTTACTTCAATCACAGCACAGAATACAGAGAATATTATCTAATGGTTTATTTGTCGCTCGAAAGGAAAAGGAAACGGAACTGCAGGGAAAACTATTTCCATCTGAGTGTGAGTGTGTGTGAGACAAGGAAGACGCGTGCGGGTGTGATGTGTGTTTGTTCTTGGTGGCTTTTTGCGGGGGTGAAAGTCGAGAAGGAGAAGCTGCAGAGAAAGTCGAGCTAAAGTGAGGAAAAAGGAGTGAAAATAGAGAAAAAGCAGTTTTCTTATGTGTGTAGGCTTTATCTATATAGACTTGTATGTATAATTGTTGACATGTATACTTTACTCTTTTTTTTTGTATTGTTTTGTTATTTTGCGGACTTTTGTCGCTAGTTTTTAAGTTTAACACACAACTAACATTTAGAGTATTGTTTATACGCCATTATGAGGCCGTAATGCAAGTACGTTTTTGTATATAGGTTGATGTATACTTATTACGTTGCTAGTTACAATTGTTGACTTGGTTGTTAGTTCTACTTTAAGATCAGGTTGTTGAAATGTTTGTCTCGTAGTGGTACAGTAGTTCGAAGTCGCGTCACGTCAAGTTGTCCATGATTGTTGCGAGTTGCAAAGAAAGGCATTAAGAGCTAACCGAGGCGTTGGAAACAGTTCAACTTAGGGTACTACAGCTTAACATAATCTCAATGGGGTGTTTATTAACAACTAACTTTGTGCAATCTATGAAAATATAATGATACGAAGAAATATATATGTATAAAATATAGAAGCAGTGTTGAGCACATTTTGACTCCTCCCTTCATTCCTCTTCCTCCTTAGAGTAATCTCTTTGTTCGAGTTTGGATTCGATTCTCGCTAGGAAACGTGTTTCTTTGTTTTGTAAAAATAAGAATCAGCCTTCGTCCCTTTGACTAAAATGGTTCACTTCCAGGTTGCATCCGATCAATACAGATAATTGTGGGGAAAGACGGCGCGGGCGGGCAGGTAACAGGGATCGTGTTGATTGCGATAGCGACGAGCCAGGAATACAGCCAGCACCTGGGAAAAAAGCATGGATTAATAACAGCTAGTATAATTTGTATATTTTAAACATTTAATAAAAGAAATAAGAAAACTCAAGCTCAAAACACTAGAACATGTCTCACCCTGGGCCACTTATTGGATTTACGCTTAGTCAAGGCAGTCAGGCAGTCAGGTGTTAGCAGAAAAGTGTTAAAAGGAAATGTGTTGAGAGTGAAAGGTAGTATATTTCTTTGCTGATTGCTTGCTTTCGGTTTTATATATGGGTTAAACACTTAGCTCTCTCCTCATCCTATAATATATATCTCTCTATATATGTATATATGTCTAAAGTTGTATATCAATTACGCCCTAACACATTACGTACATAGTTCTGCTGCAATGTGATTAAATATATATGAATATATGTATCTGTAGATGGTATAAATATAAAGGATGCTTGTATATATGGTATGTGGGGCCCCAGGGGCCCATGAGATTTTCCATCGCAACATCAAACATTTATCAGAGACAGAGCAGAGATACACACACTATGTTAAATAATCTTGGTTGTTTCTGTGTCTGGGAAATGTTTATCTTGTTTTCGACACGCGAATAATTTAGAGAAAGGCGCTGGGCAAGCCACGCGGATCCTTTTGATTGCGATAGCGAACTGTTAGCCAAACGCCAACGAACTAAGGCAGCATGTGGAAAATAGTTTATGAGAACTTGTATTACATAATCAATCAGGTATCCAAAGTGAACTTTACCTCAGTGAAGCTGAAGAAGATGCCAAGACCTCCGCACAGCTTAAAGGCATAGTCGATCTTATCCTCCAGCAAGGGTCCGCAAGGCTGGCAACGACAGTCGGGATCAGTAGACCCGGCACAGCATTGCCGATTGATTAGTTCACAGGTGGGCTCTTCCTGCGGAGCTACGGCGGCGGTAGTACTCGGTCCGGTGGCATTAAATCCGCAGCATCTCAGGCTGTCCTGCACCTGCTGGCGCAACTCCTTGGGCACCGTCATCCATCCCTGCTCGGCAAACTGCTGCTGCTGCTCTGAATTGACGGCCAGACAGGAACTGGCAATGGAGAACTGGATCAGGAACAGCATGAACAGGATTATCATGTACTAAAGGGGTGAAAGAGAGCGATGGTCTAAAGGTTAAGGCCAAACTGGGGCAATGTGTGTTGAATTATCATCTCCCTTATCGCACGTTTTCCACACATTCACTCTGGAGGGGGTCGCACAGCGATACCCTCCAGCTGACGTCATGGAAACGCAGCAGCACCGACTGCGGCCTACTCATAATTTGAGTCATTACAAACCCGCTTTCTCTGCGGAAGTGGGTACTTGTCTAAGTACGCTAATTGTTCCACATGCCACGACCTTCGGGCTTTGCAGACAGTGGCGGTCAAAGCAATAGCATTGCGAAAGAAAGATGAGAGTTTTATGACGTTTCTGACATTTGGAAAGTCTACAGTTTAGATTATTATAAAAAATGCTCTGTTCGTGTCTACATCCTTCATAGACTCGAAAAGTGCTGAACCGTTTAAGCCCAAATTTTTACACAACATGCGTTGAGGTTCCAGCTCGGTTATTGACTACTTTTGATGTTGATAGCTTATCTGCGGTGGCGAATATATCTATTTTTTAGCGTTTCCAAGTGCCCCTACTGCTGCGCCATCTACAGGCAGCCAGCTGAATCAAAGCATTTCCTGTCAAACATTCAAAACATATTGAAAGAAGAAACTTTAGAATTAAGGTTCAGTAAGAACGAAGTCAAAAAGACGTCGAATATGACTGACGAAGAACGGGCCTTGTCTAGAACGCGACAGGGCAAGGGTAGCTGAAGCGCGTTTACAGCTTGCAGCAGATCAAAACCTGTAATTAGTTACATCGGAAGGAAGAACTTATCCAAAAAGTGTTCCCCGATATCCGAATAAATTATAGGAATCACGATTGGCTCAGTGGACGAGCGATTCTCGCTGCCAAGAACAAAGATGTCATGTAATCCAAAAAGCATAGAAACTGACGAAATTACATATAAGTCGATAGATACCGTTGTGGAGGCAGAGGAAGCAGTTAATTACCCTACCGAATTTCTAAACTCACTTGATCTGCCTGGAATGCCACCACACATATTGAAATTAAAAATAGGTGTGCCGATTATCATGCTCCGGAATATAAATCAGCCGAAACTCTGCAACGGTACGCGACTCGCAGTCAAGAAATTGATGAACAACATAGTAGAAGCAACGATCATAACTGGTCCTTTCAAAGGTGAAGATGTCCTCATTCCTAGGATTCCTATGATCCCGACAGATACACCGTGCCAGTTCAAGAGATTGCAGTTTCCCATTCGTTTGGCGTCGCAATTAATTAATAAAGCTCAAAGACAATCTCTGAATCTAGATTTGGATGAAGATTGTTTTTCACACGGACAATTATATGTTGCGTGCTCACGATCGGAAAACCAAAAAGTCTTTATATTTACGCGGAGAATGGAGAAACAAAGAATATTGTATACCAACAAGTATTACAGAATTAAATTAATTTGAAAATGATTATTTTTTGTTTGACTTATTTCTTATGCGTTCAACCACAATATGCCACAGAGAAACGTGGCAGTCCATTTGGAGAATGGTCAACGTGTCTATTTCACAGAAAAAATGTTCAAGAAAGAGTCCTGAATCGGCCAGCGACAACTCTGACTGCCTTCTTCACCTTATGCCAGGAAGATGATTTTGCCAGAACCTTGATGTATTCAGAAGTGCCCTCTTAACCATAATATGCCACAGAGAACGTGGCTGGTACAGCTAGTTATTTATATGAGTAATATAATTTGCAATTTAACCTTAGACCTGTTTCTTTAGAATTAATCTTTGTCTAGTAAGAAAAAATATGCGGTAACCCAGTCAAAATAATACATTTAGAGAATATTGCAATTACTTAGGCTGGCAAAAGGGTTCTATTTATACAACTTAGAGTTTTAGCAGAGATTCCTCTTTAAAATGTATAAAAAAGGGTGCTTAATCGCTACAAATATTAAATATATGAACCAAAACCGGACTTCTCTTTCACAAACTCTTTTTCTCTCTATATCAATTAGATAACTATTCCCTCAGTCATTGTAAAAATTACACAATTTTTCCGTAAACAAATCCAAATCACTACAAAAACATCGCAATCAAAGTAGGAAACCGATGCTATTACAAGTTTCTAAGTCTACTTACTCCTAGCTACAAAAAAAGTAGTAATTCTGATGCTAAGCTGCTATTCCTTTGACCTCCGTTGTCCCTTAACCCCTTAGCTGCAACATACGAGTGCTTTACAGGCTTTGTTAGGCAAAAAGGATACGAAGAACAGCATCACTTGGTGGTGCTTCACGGCACCAGCCAGTCCCAGCATGGAGATGCAGATGAGGATGACCCCGCAGGCCAGGATTCCGCCCACAATCGGCAGGTTGGTTACGATGGAGGCGGCACGTGCGTACACGCCCACGCCAATCAGCAGGAATCCAATCATCTGGGGGTCACGAGAAGAGCACACACAACGAGAGAGAGAAAAAGAAAGAAAATCAAGAAAGGGACTCAAGGATGCTCAGCAAACCGCACAACAACAACAAGAACAGCAACTCGCACAGACAAAAGCATACAGGCACAGACACTAATACACACACTCAATGTTTGCACCTGCCCTCTAAGCAGAGGAAAATCAATACATCGAAATTCGACTAATTTAATAACCGTTTATTTGTTGTTCCTGCTGTTTATTACGTTGTTCCTCTTCCGTGTTTGGTTGTTGTTGTTGTTCTTGCTGGCTGTATACATTTTATTGCTGTTGTGTTTTGTTTTTGTTTCTGCCTTACCACATACAAAATGTTGAGCGCAATGAGCGCATTCTTCGAGCAGGTGAAACCGCCGCACATGTTGCCGTTTATTCCGTATTACTTTCCCACTAAATAGTTACGTTTAGCTGAAGTTTTATGTTAGCGTCTGCTGCTTAGTTTAATTGAATTTATTTATTTTCCGTTTTCACTTTCGTTTAGAGATGCAACAAATTCGATGTTCCTCAACTAGAGCTGGCAAAAATATCGGTGAATAGCGCTAGTATCCATAATGAAAGCAGTGCGCAAGCAGATCGAGCACGACCAAGCAGTGCGCAAGCACTCTCGACCCTATCGATAAGTGATAGGTCGCGCCATTTTGCAATCGCATATCGAAAAACTCCGGCGAAAAAAACCACGGGAGTGAAAATTGCAAACTTTTTTCGTTTTTTCCGGGTAAGTAACGCCAATTAACGAAAACATGAAACTCATTATATTGAATTGTCAATTTCGGCACAGCCGACAAGTGCCGTTAATTGCATTTTACATACCGGCGGAGAATTCCAGCCCCGGCCAACAACAACTTCATTGCGTGTCATGCGCGTCGAGGACCCCACAAACGCAACAACAACAACAAGCTGCGCAGCGGTCTCGGCAATGGACACCTACAGCATAAATTTATGGCCAAAACGATAAGCGCCGGCCAAAAGGTAAAAAACTCGCGCCGCACTGCCCAAAATTGGACAAGGAACGTGCGTCCGGCGAGCAGGCAGAATTTAGTAGCTGTCAAAGGCATCAGCTGTGGCCCGGGCAACACCTACATACGGCTCGCTTGCAGCAGCCGCAGGCCATAGAGCCACAGCCCCGGACATGGCCGCGAAGGCTACAGCCAAAGTCGGAGCAAAAGTTAAGACAGCGGCGGCGCGCACGCAAGGAATATGCCACAGGTGAGTTTTTGCACATACAGTAAACACTATGCAAGTGGGAAACTTTAGATATAACTCTCTATCTTTAACTTTAAAATGTTTTTTTTTACGCTGTGTAAACAAATTCCTGGTACTTTTGGTCATGACAAAGCTACACTTTTTATATCAAATTGGTAGGAGAATTGTGCATTTTCTATAGAACTCTTATTGTCAGGGACAATCGGATTAATGGGATTTTCTTATGTCCTTAAGGATGAATTTAAATGTTATAATATCATTTCTAAATCAACACAAATGCGTCATTGGGGACTCATTTTCTTACATTTTCACTGCAAAACTACATAATTCTTATAGAAGCTTACAACTTATGTCATTCCTTTAATATACAGATTTTTATGTACATTCCATAAAATACATAGTTCTTCAAGCCAATCTCCACTGTAATCCCCTGTTACCTTCAATGCTTTTGACTTCGCGTGCAAATGGCGAGGAATTCGGAGCGGAGTGCGGAGTCGAATGAGCAGTGTTCGGTTGGGAGTGGAGATCCCGATCCCGATGCCGATGCAGATGCCCGTTGCCCGTTTGCTATCCCCAATCCCCCAGAGCTGTTGGTGGCCTGTGACTTTATAAGGCTGATGCTGTCAGTTGTCTTTAGCCAAGCTCATTGGCAGCTTTATTGGCGAACTGCTGGCCGAGTGAGCGAGCAGCGTGTGTGTGGGCCAACCTGCATAGCACTCATAAATATAAATATGAATCTCGGATGCACTGGCAAGTGGCTGGCAGCCTCGTTAGCCTGATGCTTGGCTGCCGGTTTCTAGCTGCTGGTGCGAAAGATGCAAAACGTTTGGCAGCTCCGATTCCAAGACCTAGACCAAGTCAAAGCCGAAGTCAGGCCAGAATAGCTGGGGATGGCTTCCGCCGGTTGGCCTGGCCAAGAAGACAACACCGTGTGCTAACAAGATGGCAAACACATGAAATTAGACTGCGCCGATGCACGTCCAGCGATAGAAGAAGAACGAACTGATCGTGCCCAGCAAACGGCAACGGCAAGAACAGCAGACTAATTAACATATTCAAATATTTGTCGCATTGTTTCGCCAGTTTCCCAGCTCCTCCATCTCTCGCAGCTCCGTCTCTCCCTCTCCTGGGCATGATCTGGTCTACTCCGTTGACTCCCGCTTCTCTTGTCTGTTTATTGAAAAACCATTTTACGGTTTCATGCTTGAAAGTCATTGCGATCTGCCACGCCCCATCCCTGGTCCTGGTCCTGGACCTGGACCCTGATCCCGGGCCATGGCCATGGCCATTGTGAATCTTCCCTGGGTTTGTGCTGCTGCAGCAGACCCCTTGGCGCTATTTTTATCGCATTTTAAAAGGCTATTTGTAGTGGTTCCACCAGGAAGTGGCATAAATTCGCAGCGCATAATGGCTGTGAATAAATTATTTTGCTACAGCTTCCTCTCGCCCAGCCCCCGGGTCCATTGATTGTGCCTCGCCCACGGTGGCTGATAAGGCTCAGCTCCGACTTCTCCGCTTCTCCGGGCAGTCCAACAGGCTCATCCATTGCGTTCTTCATTGGTCGAGAAGAAAATCCCCCCGAAAAAAAATAAAATAACAGATGCTAGAACAATGCACTGGTTACGTAATCACTTACCGCGATTGTTGTCCGTCCTGCCCCGTGAGAGAGGCCAGCCGGCGGCCTTCCTTGTGCGCTTGAGCAATTTTCACGCACGCCCTCGGACCAGGAGGCTTCCCATCCCAGAAGAAGGCTTGGTCTTGGTCTTGGAAGGAGAGAATAAACCATAGAATTGAATACGCAGCAATCGCATGCGAAAAGCAAAAGTCTCACAGTCCGTTAGGCGGAAGCGAAGGCCAAGATGCTGGGACATTTGGCCAGCCAGGAGATTTGGCTTTAATTAAATTTATGGGAGTGATGTTAGGCTTCCTCCTAGATCGGGGGAATTAGGTCCTTCTGAAGCTGGGATGGAGGAGTTATTTACTTACTTTTTGGGTTAAGAAAAGGTTTATGGAAATGTCTAAGGGCAGACTTCTTATTGTTACGTAATTACTTAGCCAACTAACTCGTGTTGGCTATATAAAGTTATAGCTCATACAGTTATCTCATAAAATTAAATATTGTAACTTTAAATGGCAGTAATTAGGAAAGTTGTAAGCATAAAGTAAAAATCTTTATTCTTCTTTTACAACTTTAACGTGACACCCTCAAAAGCCATAACGGAATGTGTATAACCATAATTTTTCGTTGAACTTTTCTCCAAATAACCTCTAGTATGAGGCTTTGTCTGTTAACGAATGTAATGTAAGTCATCTGTGGGAAGAAGAGATAAACCCGCTGACTACCGGGTCTTAAGTGAAATTGAATGACCCCTGTGGTAACTGCAATTGACCGGGCCAGATTCCAGAGATATATTACAATTATTAATTGTTTTTCCCCCCCAAAGGTAGGCTTAGCTCAGCTGGGAAGCTGAGGATGCTGCTGCTGGGACTCAACCCGAGCTTGAAGTTCTGCTGAACCATTTCTCTAATTTCTAATGGGCTTCCATCGCGGGCTGCCACAAACGGATGTCTGCCTTGACGCAGACTCGATGGCTGGCTTTGGGTTGGCTCTGGGTTGGCTTAACTTGGTCTAGCTGTGATCAGGGCCTGGTCAATGTCCTTTGCCTTTTCGCTTGGGTTTTTGTATTATTTTTTTGGCTGGGGTCTTGCATGCGCATTGCGCACGACGCGTCAGCCACCGCTGCCTGCAGTTTGGAGCCGCTTTGCCGGCTCTCTGAACTGCTCCAAGTTGGCCCAAACAGATGTTATCCCATCCGATGCGGCAGTGACCCCAGCAGGGCCATAAATTCTCACAGTGCCTACACGCCTGCGCCTCTCTACAAATGTTCCAATTTGTATTTTTGCACAAATTGTACTCGCCGCCGTGGCATCTTTGCCAGCTCTTCTCCTGGAGGAGATGGAGGATGCTGCTTGCCTGTGGGTTTCCCGTTTCCCGTTCCCTATGCTCTGGTTGTTTGTTTTTTTGGCTGCATTTAATTTAATTTGGCCTACCCAATTGGGCTGAACCGCAATTAGAGACAAATGTTTTCGGCTGCATTCCAGCGGCTACTTAGCCCCGCATGTTCGTGGCAATTAGCCTGCGAGGCCATCGAGGACATGGGGACATGGGGACATTGGGGCGGGGCGAAAGTTATCTTCCACTGCAGCAGAGCGACCATTTCCCACACGTTTGTTTGCTTAATTAGGTGAAAACGGGCTAACAGCTGTCCCGGCCATGCCGGGCAATTGCTAATGAGCAGGACAAGCCGGAGGAGTTGGCGAAATGAAAAGTAACAAGCCACCGTCCTCGCTTTCAGGCTTTGCCACTTTGGAAATGGAAAATGGAAAATGGGGGAAATGGTAAACGGGAAAACGTTCGCCACTCGTCGACTCAAGTGCTAAATTCCAACTTTTGTCAGTCTGTCTTTTATACCCTAACAAAGGGGTATAGTTGGGATAGTTTGGCTATGAGAAAGTCCTAAAAAAATCTAGGAGAATATGCAATTCTAGGACATTATTTATAAGTAAAGAGAATAGATTGTTTGGGAATAAACTATGTTAAATGTTTTCTAAATCTTAGAATAACTTTTATGACCTCCCAAATTGTCTTAAGATTCATTGCCATAACTTTTAAAGACTTCTTTTATATTAAGAGTTTAATTTGTAAAAGATTTCTCATAAGCCAATAACCTCAACACTCCGAATTGATTTCCTAACAACCTCTTTGCTTAGAGCATATAAAATTTCACTTACCAGCTTCGTTCGAGACCAAGTCTTTGGTTCATCTGTGAATTTTGCTGGCTTCTTCACCAATTTCTTCTTCTTTGGCGAAATTTGGCGGTGCCCATTGCCATGGCAAGTGCATAATTTTTCAATCAAAGCGAGCAGCTGTAAAACAAACAAAAGCAAGGGGCCAGGCCAGAAATCGTGAGCAGTCCAACATGGCCAGAAAAGAAAAACCCCCGAATAGGAAAAGCTCTTCTCTACGCTGGCACCGCCGGGAAAAAAGGTGGAAAGGAAGTGCTGCAAACGAGATCTTCACCTCATCGCATCGCATCCCAACCCATCCAATCCCAGGCCATCGGAGCTCCAACAAGGCAATGGGCAATACCAATGGCAATGGCATTTAAATGCAAATGACCACGAAGCGTGAGGGTGTTCAATGCGAACTTTATGCATGGAAATTGGCAAAATGCGAGCAAGCGTTTTTCCTCAATGGTCAAAGTGTCAACGGCAACGAGTGTGTGTAGGTGTTTGTCAGCCATTGTCTCTATGGCATTCCATTGCAGTTGGCCAAGGACCAGTCCGGGGCCAAGTCAAGCCGCTAATTAAAAGCCATTGCTAACAGTCAACGACTTAATGGCCAGGCATTTGCATAGCTGTCAACGCAAATGCCCACACTTGGCCACGTTCTATCTATATATACATATATGTATATCTCCATGCCACACGCTCTTGGGTGAGAAAAACCAAAAACAAAATACAAAAAGCTCACGCAGCGTTGGTCCGGAACCCGCCCCAAAGCCACACCACACCACACCAGCTTCAACACCAACTTCAACACCAACTCCAACATCAGCTATCATACTAAAAACCTCATAGCCGTGTCCAAGCCAAATACGCACCAGAACCGGCCATAAAAATTGTCAACGCGTGTCTTTGATGGTTTACCCTAACTTACAAAGGGGATACATTCCTTTTTAAGAGCTGTTAGGAGTCTTAAATTAAAGTATTTAAGAGATATTTAGGGTTATAATTGCTTCGCAGCAGTAAACCTAATTGTTATTTAAACTCTCAGGTTAAATCCTTATATCCTTAACCCTAGAGCATTCCGAATTCGCCTTGAAAATTAATTTTCAATTAACTGCAACTTAATAGGGGCGTTTTATTCAACATGAGGCACGACGCACATGCGTATATCACACCTATCCATCCAAGGAGGGAAGCGGCGGGAGCCTTCCAGATAAAGGAGTTGGGCAAGGAGAGACTTCACTCCACTTGCGGACCCATGACGACAATGTCCATGAAGACGTCTTCATTCTGAAAAACCTGGCACACGTTGCGGTCTACATGGGGCTTTTCGCACATTTCAATTTTTAACGTGATCATGATTAATAGCCGTCGCTCAGTGGCTCAGAATTTTCGATGGATGGATACCGGGAATGTTATAATGGCGTGCGTAGCTGAAGCGTTAAAGAGATTGTAACACGCCTGGTTTAAGCCGCTTGCTATTCCGCCCCATAATTTGATTAACACTTTTGTCGGACGCGAAAGATACTCCATGGCATACATATGTGCCACATGCCGGGTTCTGCTTAAATTGCCGTGAAATTATCATAATTTTTACGGGTGTCTTTTTCCCCTTTTCTCTTGACAAACATCAATTTAAGCTAAACGCTTGCCCAAGTTTTGTCAGTCGAATGTTAATGAATTAATTAAGTAATTCAGATGAACCTTTTGTTTAGGTGTTAAGTGATTTTCGGGTGCTCCTATGCTTGAGAGATTTAATGATGATTTAGCGAGACTAAAGAGATTTTCTGGTAACAAATATATTCCCCTAAAAGAAAACTCAAATGAACTTATTTTCAGACATTTATTTATAAATATATATATATATTATTAGGCGTAGAGTTTATTGCTTTACTTAATCAGTACAATTCGTTTATCAAGATTTTCGTTTATTAATTTTCATCTCCTGTTTGAGATTTAACTAAGTCTGATCCCCTCTCTGAAAGGGGGGACGAACAAGTCGAAGCTCCTAAATATATAAGCACCGCCTCTCGTTTCGGCCAATAAATAATATAAAGTACGATTAGTAAATAAATAGTTAGAGTAATAGTTTTCGGTTTAGGGGAAGGCATGGGGGAGGGGCATTGGAAAATTTGGAAAATGCCGCCTTGCACAGAAGCCTGGCGCAAAACATTTTGATACAAAATTATTTGGCAAACTTTGTGATGAAATGTCAGAGCAGCTCAATAGTTAATAATAAATAGTGTAATAGTTATAAATGCAATTCGCTCGAGTCTGGACTTAGACATAAGGACATGAAGCAGATTTCTCACTAAGCATACATATATAAATTAAGCCTAACTTTTCGCTAGAGACAATTTAAACTAATTCGAATTTTAGCGCGGGGGAGGGGAGAATTTTCCTTTGCTTTCGTGGCAATGCGCCGATTTAAAATGTTGGAAACTCAATTTCCAAGGCATTTAAAAGCGCGCATTCTGGACAGATACTATCGTTTCGTATCGGGTCAAAAAAATAGGTAATCATGTAAATTAATTATTAAATTAAAGTCTTAGTCTAGGCTGGAATTAATCTAGGGTTTTCCAATGATGTGTGTGTGTGTGTGTCGCTGCTAGGCGAATATTTCTATTCAAGTCTCATCGAATCTTTTGAAGCTTTCGAGGCATATTGCGTTTGTTCCCAGCTAAGTGTTTCCCAGCTAAGTGCGAGAGCCACCCAGATCAGATCTCCCCTAGAACTGTTGTCCATAGCGTCCATTAATTCCACTATCATAGAGCTTGCTCAGCGTATCCTTGGCACTGCCCACATAAGACGCTCCCGATGAGGAGCCGGCGGAGGATGGTGGCGGTGGGCCATAGAGCATGGTGGGTGCTCCATAGGTAATGGTGGGCGTGGGCTCATGCTGATACAGATACCGCTCCTTGCTGGTGCGACGCTGAACGGTCTTCCAGATGCCAAAAATGCTGAGCTGGGCCAGCAAAAAGAGTCCTCCGGCCATGATTAGTCCTGGAAAGGAAAGAGTACAAGGTGGAAAGTGAGTTATTTAACCGGAAACTCCAGGCAGAAAGATAAAATCAATTAGAAATCTGTGGGAAATTCTATAAAATGATATCTCCAACTTGCTTGCAATTAAAGTGTACAAAGAAATCAAGAATCAAAAAGTAAATTGCAGTTTAATGAACCTTTAAGCTGGTCTTAAACCCGATCTCAAGACCCTACCCGCCTGAAATCTGCTCCAGTTTTAAGAAGGTGTCTTCGCCCTCGGTGTACTCGAGCAATTTGAAAAGGGAAGTCGGGCCCTCTTATCGCCATAAATCAAGGGGATTATCTCAAGTAACCGATCTAGTTCGAAGAGTTTCAATGAAAACTGGTTGCCGGCAACGAACCGAATGCCGGTTAGCGATAAGATCATTCCCAATCAGCGGAAAACAAGGGAAGGCCGGGAGCTGAAGAGGAATAACTAGAGCCAGAAGTGACCTCAGATCGGTTTGGTTATCACAGAAAACAAAAGTGGGCGCCACTTGACCCACTTCCAAGTGAACTGAAACAGAAAGAGGGGGAAAAATAGCCCCAAGGCAGAAGTAAACGAGTCCGAGTCCGAGTCCGAGTTGGAGTCCACCGACCAAGTGACCAACTTTGACAGCAACAAGTTCAAGATAAACAAAAACAATGAGAAATAAAACAGCGACAATTTAATGCATGAGTTGCATATTTCGGCACGGACTCACTTTCTATACCCTAGACATTGCATGTTGCTGCTGCCGCTGTTGCTGCTGCTGTTGCTGGGTTCTTAAGAGTGCAACATGCCACATAAATAAGCCCAGGAAAGCGTTGGACCAGCGGAGGAAATTCGAAATGCCGATGCCAATGCCACAGCCGGTAGAAATCGGGTGAAAGTGCCGCCAAAGTTTAAGTCAAAGTCAAAGTCGAGTTGCATGCGTTGCTGCTGCTGCTCTTGCTCTTGCTGTTTTTTGTCCAGTTCACGAAATCAGAATTTAAGAGCATCAGCAGCAACTGCAACAGCAACAGCAACGACGACATGCCAGATGACTATCAAAGATTACTTCGTAACAATGTTGTGCCTGTTGTTGTTGACCATAAAAAGTAAGCTCAGCTCTGCCGACTTGAGCCAAAAAAACAAATCAACAAACAAACCAAGAGCCACAACAACGTCGTCATCACCTCCATCATCATCATCATCATCATCTTGGTCATGACTTGAATGAGTTTCAATAACAAAGTGCACGCACTTGAGACTTTTATTTATGTATTTGACTCTGGCTTTACACAGGTACCACAAAGGGGGGCAGCAACCAACGAAAATATATACAAAATTATAACAATTACTGTAAACGGTCAGAGGTGGAGAAGGAACAAAACAAAACGAGTTCTGTTTCGTACGAGGCGCCCACAAAATGGTAAATAATTTGATGAAAACCCGACCCAGAACAAAGAGTAACAAGAAAATTGCTGAGAAAAGCTAACGGGGCTAAAGGGAAAAGAAAAGTAAGCGAATAACGAAAGTGAAGTGAATTATCTAAAGAAAACGTTTAAACAAATTCAACAACCTGAAATTAAAGTAAAGAGTCTGGGCAACATGGTTACAAAGCATATTAAACCAAGATATTAAAAACTAATATCTATAACCAGAAATCTTATTTCAACTAAGAGTTATTCAACTATTTATATAGCTCATAAAAACCAAGTTAAATAAGAGATTTCTGTCTATAAAGCTTCCAACTAAGATTGGAGTCTGAAATTACTCTAGACGGGTTTTTAGTTAGTGTTTTCCAGACTTGCTTTCGTTCGAATACGGAAAGAGAAATGAGAATTATCTATAATTTAGTAGCAAACTACCGAATCGAATATTAGAAATTGCATCGTGCGGCCGTTTAATAAAACATTTAAGACTAATGGCGAATTTGATGAAAGCGAAATGGCTGAACTGCATTTAGGCAGCCGACTTCCCTGTGATTCTTATACAAAATAATGCCATGAAATCAAGCATGAAATAAGCCCATAAAGTGGCCATTAAAGTGTTTGCCATAATGGGAGAAGAGAGAGATTCATTTCTAAATAAATATTAGAGAAGAATGGAAAATGCTCATAAGCATTGACAAATTACAGGGTGTTGAGTCAACTCGCCGCCAGAAGATGTTTAAATTGCTGTTCTGCATGCCGAAGACACAAGGCCGGGAATGTAATGAACTATGTATCTAAAGTTGTGCACGCATCAAAGCTCACCTGGTCAGGTGATGCTCAGCTTGCAACAATGTGTGTGGCAAATGAGCTTAAGCACAAGCAGAAACCGTTGCTCTAATTGTAGGCAATGAGCTTCAGTTTGATGCGGCGCGTAATTACCACAAAAATGTATGCTGACGGTGGTCCAACGGAGCTGGGACCAGCTCCAGTTGATGCTGAAACTGAGGCTGGACTTGGTGCTGCTGCTGCTGTCTAACGAGCTGTCAATTCAACGCTTCAACGCCGCATCGCATTTCGCTCTGATGCGGCATGGCAATTGCTCCACAAAGGAATGACACATGGGAGATGATAGTCTCCGGTTCTTTTTGGTCTCCCGTCTCCGGGAGCCGGTAAACCCAGCGGGCCAACTGTGCAAAAATCTTTTCGCGCCGCACGAAAATGAGGCGTGCAGAATCCTGCTGCCAGCTGCTGAACTAGTGACCTGGTCGTGAGCCAGCAGAGACACCGAAGCCAGGCATCATAACTTGTTTAAGTCGCAGTCACACAGAACACGTTCTGGCCCAAAAGAACCTAATTTAAGGCCCATGCAAGGAAGGGGGGAGGAGGGATGTTGCAGTCGGCAATGATGAAAAATTGATTCATTATCAAAATTAGCGAGGCCAGGAACAAGCTGAGCATCTCACGACGACCACGATGTCGTCGTCCTGCTCCAGCTCCAGCTCCTGCTCCTACTGCTTCTGCTTCTGCTTTGCTTGTCTATGCAAATCAAGTTGCCTTTGATTTGCGCTTGATTGGGCATTTTCACAGGGAGAGTTTCGTTCGGCAAAAACTTACCATAGCCATTAAGGCAAGTGAGCTTGTCCTGGGCAACGCCCGCATAGGCCTTCTCGTGTGGACCCGATCCGGTGCCGCTGTCATTGCCGCTGCCATTGGTGGTGGTGCCGTCCTCAGGCTGGAAGCCAAACTTGTCTGTGATTTGTATGGACTGCATGAGCAGTATGTTATCATCCGCAGGGCCAACATCCCGTCGCTGGCGTGTGCTGACCATGAACTCGGCTGCAATGAGAACGATACGAACGAAAAGGTTCGTTAGTTTTGTTGCCTGAATGGATGCTGTGGCAAAGAACCTGAAGATCAGTAGTACTTACCACCATCCGTTCCGTTGAGCACCGATCGCTTCTTGCGGCCATAGGAGACCAGGGACTTGAGCTCACCGCTGGCGCCATCCTCGCTATCGCAAATGACGGGCTCGCAGCGCGGGATGCAGGGCGTGACGAGGGCACGGAACTGAACCACCTCGCTGGAGGGGAACTTGAAGGCGTCGAACTGCGAGAGCAGCACCTTGCGGTTGTGAGCCAGCTTCTGGATGTTGCCCATGATGTATTGGTCGGTGGGGCAGCCATTAGCATCGATCAGCGTTATCTCGGCGCTGTCCGAACCATCCATGGCCACCAGCTCCCGCACAAAGATCTCATAGGGGCTGTTCGGCTCAACGATCTCGAAGCGCAGGGCCAGCGGATCACCGACCTCGGCAATGCGTTTCATGTCACTGCCATCCCGTGAGGTGATCTTCATGATCACATTGGGTGAATCTATGGTGATCTCCTCGCTCAGCGACGACTCAATCTCGCCGGTCACTCCCAGGTCCACATCGTTAAGCACCGTCTTGTTGGTCAGGTCGTATTGGCAGGAAACGGCTAATCCCAGATCCGAGGATGTGACGATCATGTCATGATGCTGGATCACAATATCGTTCATGTATCTGCCGTAGGCACTCTGGCGGACATTGCACTCGAGGTCATTGTATCCCATGCGGAAATCAAACTCCAAAGAGTTGTTCACATTCACGGCGCAGGATTTCGGTGCTCCCTTGGCATAGACCTTGCCATCGAAGAGCTTGGAGGTGCGAATCTTGGTGATCATCTCGCCGGAGCGACACTCAATCGAGACATTATAGCAGGCCGAGAGTTCATAGGTGGCTGCCTCGGGCACTTCCAGGTAGGGATCCATCACATCGGTGAGGGTGGCTCGGCTATGATGCGACAGGCGGCAAACCATGTCTCCAGTGTCATTATAGTCGTACGAGTGGCATCTATCCGGGATTAAAATTTAGAAGCTGTTGGAAAGGAGTTCGATGAACCTTACCTGTAGGGAGAGTTCAGGCAGAGATCGCGGCACTCGTCAATGGTATTGATGTCCTGGTAAACCGAGTCCACTGTCTTCAGGATCTTGCCAGAAATGCGCTTAAATTCACACAGTTTACTAGGCTCTTCGGCACAGTTGTTCTCCAGGTAATCAGCTCCATCATAGGGTTCCACACTCCCACCGGCTGAGAGGGTAATGCGATCCATGTCGGAGAGCTCGCACAGACCCGAGTGGCGGTAATAGTTGGCCGAGCTGATCGAGTTAAGAGTTTTGAGCGGTTCGGAAGGACGGAAGAGTGAAGGTGGAAATGGTAGTGGAAGAGAGCAAGTGATACGTAGAGATTAGGAAGGAGTTGCAAGTTGTACAAACGATAAGATAAGAGCCAAGTAAAGCCGCTCGAAATCATTTTAGGTATTAGATAAAGGGTTTAAAATATAGTAATTTAAGAGGAAGTAGTAAGGTTGTAAACTATATGTATGTCTATTCATACTTAGAACTCAGTTTTAAACTCAAGTAAATAAGATATAGTAGTACTGGCTATGGATTTCATAACACCTTCAGCTCAGATGAGCTCAGAGATGTTCTTTGAAGACATTCTATAAGGTTGTTGCCCCATATAGTTGTGGCTTATCCTTTAAGGCTCTAACCTGCATTAAACAGTGGACACTAGTACTCACCGGCATGTGAATTCGGACTCGCCCAGGCACAGTTCCAAACAATCGCGTCGCGATAGAACCGTCTGACTAGATTTGACGTGCTCCGGCAGGCGGTAACCTTGAACGCGATCAATGCACCAGGCCTTGGAGCAAGGACGCACGCCCAAACACGATTTCTGTGCGTAGATGGTGAAAACCGGAAACTGCGAGCGTGAAAGTGAACCTGAAATAGTAGAAGAAAAAAAAATATAGTAAAATAAGAAAACCTCATCAGGACGGGTGGCGGGAAAATCGGGAAAAGCTGGAATCACAACGGTGCTGTGCGTACGCGATGCGTGAATTGCGCATTTTATGCGTTTTACGCACACGCCCCTTCACTGCAAAGTAACAGGCGTTGAGAAACGATGAAAAGCTGGAACTGAATCAACAGCAGCAGCAGCAACGCAACGACAACTGCATCGAGACATTCGAGATTTGGCTGGGAAGGAAGGTTGCTGCGGCTGCTGCTGCTGCTGTTGCAGCAGAAATTATGCGTTACTGCCAGTGCCGCCAATGCCAAAAGCCAGTTTGCTTTTCTGCAGAATCCATGGACAAAATCTAGTTTGCCGGGCCAAAAGCGACGACGATGTGTTGCCTTGGCAGCCGGCCAGGCCAGCCACCAAATCATGCGTAAAAGCAAAAGGCGTGTGCAGGCAGGCAACTCTATATATATTTTTTGTTTCTCTTAAATTTATTTTAGCCAAGCCAGGTGATTTATGCCTCCAAACCACGACAGCCGCAAGGCACACACAGAACGAAAATATTTAAACAATTATATATATAGTTTACCCAAGCTAAACTGACCTTGAAAAAATATCAATGATATATATTAATTTTTGCAACAAAGTAGCTTCTAAGATATCACATTTTACCCCTTAAACTTATTTATTTTTCCGGCTTTTCTTTGAGTGCATGCAACCTGCATGAACTAGAACTCAGTAATTGAGAAAATGAATGAATGAACAGCCCGGCTGAGCTGAATTATTGAGCTTTCTTTGGCACAAAAAAAAAACAGCAGAAAAAACATCACAGTCGTCGTTGTGGTTGTCGCCTTGGCCGTTTCAGATTCTCACACTTTCTAACTCACCTGGCAATTTATCGGCGGTCGTCTTAAAAAGCACACACAAGCCGGTTTCATAGTTGACAGCGCTGCAGGACTCGTTGCTCTGGCAGGCCTCCAGGCAGTCGGTGAGCATCAGGGTCCCCGGCAAAGTGTCCAGCATTTTCGAGGGGGCCGATAGCACATAGCTGAAAGTGAAGAAAGATGATTTATAAATAAGATCGAGGTCATAGCGATATGGGGGTATTCCGCATGATTTATGACCCGTGTGATCTCCACTAATAGATTTTCGAAAACGAACCGATGAAATCGAAAGTGATAACCGGAATCTATATTTAACTATAAGTCTTTATTATGATTCGTTTTTAAGCGGGCCAAACAAAAGACTTAGGCAACGAACTTGCGGCGGACGATGACATCTCTTTTGGGGGGGAAAAAACAAGTCTTTGGCTGGGATTAGTCACGTTTTAACCAACAGAGTGTCACTCCTACAGCCACCACACACATTTGCATATGCCAGTTGGTAGAAACGGTCCATGGAGTTGGCTCCATTTCTGGCTTCCCACTTGTTGCCGCTGCCACTTCACCGTTATCTTCCTATTCTTCTTATGGAAATGTTAATTGGCCCAAATGTCAGTGGCATTTCATTAAAAACTGTATGAACCCTTTGTGGGCCCATTGTCTTGTCTCTCACAGAAATTTAAATTTTAGAAGAAGCAAAAGTGAAAATAACAAGTGGCTATATAAAATGTAATCAAGTTTCTATAATGCTGGTGGTTGCGTAAGATAATACTGCTGAGGCTGGGGGAAATTTTGTATTGTTTTGTGACGTTTATGAATAGATAGGTAGAAAAGTTCAATTAGTTATGAAATTTCTAGCCAAGGAAAGAAAGTCTCTTTAAGATGGATAATTTAGTTTTAATTAGGTATATAGGGTGTATAGAATTTATGAAGTTAAATGCTTGATGATGTACTTTATGATTATTAAGATAGTTCTTGCTTCTTGTACTGATACACAGAAAATTATAGTGACTTGAAATAATATATAAAACCTTCTTTAATATTATTTTCCTAACCCTTTTCTTGATAAATAGTTAATAAAGCTTTCATAAACCTTGCTTAACATTATATCTTTAATCTATCAGCTGATAATTAATTGAGTAAAGCTGTCGGCTTACATCTAATAACAAAGTCTGGCACTTTTCTATCAACTTTGTCTCAACTCAACTCACCCGGTAATGATCTCAAAACCAATCATATCTGGATCGCACTCCTCCTCCTGCAGGACGGCTGGGGCCTTGTCCGTCTTGGCCTCTGGCTGCGACTCAATGGGCGTGACCAGGGGCTTGGGCAGCTCACCGGCTCCAGCTCCAGCTGCTGCAGCAGATCCTGCTCCATTGGTGGCTAACTCTGCCACCTGGTCGCTGCTGCCGTCCGTTGTGGTGGTGCTGGTACTGGTGGTGGTGCTACTGCTGGCGGTGGTGGAGCTACCATTGTTGCCCGGTGTGGCAGCCAGCGGCGAGGGCGTCACATTGTTGCGCGGAACGGTCTGCTTGACCGGCTTGACAGGACGTTTTGTTTTGCGTGCGGCACTGGCGGCGTCACTCGCAATTAGACAGAGCAGCAGCAGAAAGGTGCAGCGGCGTAGAAACATTTTGTCTGCAATTGAAATTGATATGTGTGGTGCGGTGTGGTTAGCGAGAGGCTAAATGTTAATTAGGCAAACTAATTTCGCATTACGCGTAATTTATGTAATTCCTGGTGTGCATTTTATTGGTTTAGTGTGGTAGCCACCAGGTAGTAGTAGGTAGTCTCTCTCCATGGGGGCTTTGCACTGCCAGGAATGGAAACGGAACGGAACTCTGTGTCTTCGGCAGCAAGTCTACCTCCCATCCCCATCCCCATCCCATCGACCCTCGCCTCTGGTCTATGGCTATGTTCGAGCTTTAATTGCCTGGCTTGTTCGCCGTGTGTTTCAGCGTTTAATTAAACCTACAGCGCGCAGCTTACAGCTTACAGCTCTCAGCAATCTGGCCTTTTTCTATTGTGGCAGAGTCAGCTTTAGGTCTCAACAGAAACAGAAACAGTTGCAGCCACAATCAGAACAAAAACATTACCGGGAAACCTCACTGGGGCGAAGTTTTATGTGTGAAAAACACCGCCGCTGCCTGGGAAATATATTTACGAGGAGCAGAGAGCAGAGTCGGGATGCCTTTTGGGACTGGGTGTAGGTGGCACCATGCTGGGGAGAAAAACCTAACTGGAAGACCCCGTAGAAGACCCCATGGGCCTAGATTTCACCTAGTAAGTGCAGGCGGTCCATGTTCCAGATAAGTGTAAGCTACATGTGTAGAAGCCTAAAGGTGGCTAAGATTATTAATAATATTACTAAGGGAATTTGAACTCTGACTTGCTTTATATCGTAATAAATGATAGGTAAAATTAGGGAAGTTCCTGTTTATAATTCAAATCCGGAAGTTGAATGTAAGAAAAACACTATATAATACCTCTTTTAGTTCCCCAACTTTATAGCTCTACTCACTTGTATACCAGGAATCTTAAACATATTTCTTATCTAAGATCTATGGGCAATGTCAATGACTTTTCCCCAAAACATAACTCGTCTTCTTTATGGTTTGTTACCTCTGTCTTAACAATTTGCTAATCCAATTATGCAATCTGGCTTTAAGACGCGCCAAAACAATTAACACTTTACAGCTGACGAATCGCAGATCTAAACACCATTTCCCTGTCTTCTTTATATTTTTATTTCGCGAATAACTGGCCATTTCCCCGTTCCAGCGAGAAAGTGAATTCAGGCATTCATAAAAAAAAATAATAGTAGACAAAGGAAAAACAAACACATTTTCATGTTGTTAAATATTTTTTATGCGTTTCGGCTGTCGATGCCCCGTCCAGAGGCGTTAAAAAAGTGAGTTTCACTGCCCGACAATAAAAACAAAAAGAAGTAACAAAATAAGCGCTCTCCTGGAGCCGCTGAGCTGAGCTGAACCACCTGTGAGATAATCTAAAGTGTGGCTCATTATTTTACCTGAGAGACAGCGAAGAAGATTTAGCGGTTAATAAGCGGCTGCGTGAGAAAAGATTTTTGCGCGGGCTCAGTTTTTCATCCTCATTTTTTGTTGGTATGTCTCTGTTTTATTTTTTGTTGTTGTTAGATGGGCACTTGTTTAATGTTTCGTTAGTTACATAATTAATTATGAGCCGCAGGAGGAGGAGGATGAGGAGGAGGAGGAGGCTCCAGGCGGACTCGGGTTGCATGCAAAACCAGCGCCACGCCCACACCTCTGCCGCAGCTGGCTCACACATAAATTATGAAAGCCAAACAAGTGGAGTGAGAAAGAACCGTTAATGTTAATAACATGCTTTAAGATACACTGCACTAAAAACAATATGTTGTACCCCCTGAAAACCCCTCCTCCCTCGATCAAGCCATTCTTCTGCTCGATTGAACCGGCAAAAGCGAGGCTAGAGATTTACCAAGAGCTGGGAGGGAAGTCAACTCCAACTCCAAGTCCAAGTCCAAGTCCAAGTCCATGATGCAGTCTCCGGCAAACGGGAGGCGAACTCATTATGGAACGCTCACTTCCACTTGCAATTAGTTGTATGAATGAATTTATGCTAATTATAGGCCTCGAACAGCAAACGCAACGCGCTTTTAATAAGCCAACAGAGAGATAGAGCCCTCGGGGGAAGGTATTGCCTGGATTTTTTGGCCTTTTGTTTTAGCTTTATTCTTATCTTCATTTCGGGCCCATCCCTCTTTGTTTTTTCCGTCTGTTTTTGTATTTTTCTTTCGATTCGGTTCAGTTTCACCTGCTAACCCACAAATGTAATGAGCCATTGACCAAGGTGGACAGAAAAAGCCGCTGAAGAAGAATGGCCCAAAGGTAGAAACGGTAAATGTGCGTGTGTGTGGCATGTGGTTAGAGTTTTTTGGTAAGGAATCCACAAAAAAAAAAAAAGGGAGGGAATGTATTCTGCGGTTCCATCAGAATTTCCACTTAGAATTTCCATGTGAGCGTAACCGAGAGAAGATCTACCACATTTTAATTAACCCGGCTGGTATAATTTTCCAAAAACAAAAACGTTCTGCTGCCTTTCATGACTTTTGATTCAGCGTTTCGGTTGATGCTTTTCCCCTTTTTTTAAGCCGGAGTTAGATATGTCTATCAATTTCACTAATTGAACGTTAACAAGAAGCCACCGCCGCCGAAGCGCTGGCAGCGGTTTTTCCATCTATCAATCATGTAAACTACTCGGCGATTCCAATCGGATTTCTGTTGCATCCACCAGAAGAAGCAGCACCAGAGAGATACATACAATTTGGTTAGTTATTAGGTGAGATCGGGCCATTCGCAGCTGCTTCCTTATTTCATCCTCCTCGTTAATGTCTGGATCATAAACAAAAGACTGTGGAAACGAACTAACCATACCATACCATACGCAGAGCTCTGAATTGCGGCCCGCCGAGTTTCCATTACAATTTGCAATAGCTTTTCGCCTCTGCACAGCGAAACACAAAAGATCTCTTCTCTGGCTTTCAAAATGAACTCATTTGCCGATGAAAATCAAATTGAAAACGTTTACATTGAATTCGATTTGCTTGCGGTCTCGTAGGCCTTCTGAAAGGTCAGAACACCGCCGAAAGATCGACTTTCAATATATTCAATGAGAAATTTCTCTTAGTTTCGTATGCAGGTTCCCAGGCCACAAAAAGGAATAATAATATTTCGGTTCGTTCGATTTGAATTTATGCCAACTAAATGCCAAATGCTAATTGACTTTGCAGCCATAAAAATCGAGCCAACTAAAAAAAACACTTTCTCAGCCAAGAAGGAGCACAACCTGACTCTGGTTCAAGTATTCCAAGTCCAAGTATTCCAGCTGGAGTTGGACTTGGAGCTGGAGCTGGACTTGGAGCATGCATAATAAATATGGCTTGGCTTTTGTGGAGCGCAGCGGCTGAGAAATGAGTGCTTGACTTGGCGGCCGGCAAAAGGAGGAAGCAGCATATTAGCGGCAACAGTGCGCAGACTCGGCGGCATTATCATAAACTAAATATAGCAGCAAATATCAATTTGATTGTGCGCCGGGCCAGGCGCACAAATTGAGACCGGTGCACAATGGCTCGCAAGACTCCACTCCACTCTCAGCCAGAGTCCAAGTCCGAGCCAGAAGAGTCGTTGGATAAAGACCATTGGGGCTTGGGTTGGCATTGTGTTGCAAGTACCGTTGAGGTTTAGCGCATGTCCGGCGTGTCCGGCTGCTGGCCAGTGATAAATTATCACTGTTGGCCGGGCCATTACTTTTCGGAAACGTACGAGGTGAGCGACTGCAGTTGCTCAGCAAACCACCATTGCCGACGCCGTTTGCTGAGTTTCAAACTAACTTATAGCCGGCAATGAAAATGAGAATCAGAATGGGATGACGATGCCGATGAGAATGCGCTTTAGCCGATGGGCACACTCTAAGAAAAATGCTAAACATTAAAATTAATGTGTTTTGAATCAAATAAATAGAGTTCAAACTGCATTGAACTCTTGATAAAATGTTGGAGAATTTTGAAGGTTGAGAGGGATTTGTAAAAGATAAATATTGGTTAGAATGTTTACTTTAGGTAATTGTAATGACACAAATTTGGTATGTAATTCTGTCTTATTTTCTCTTATTATTTCCATAAAAAAAGACACTATACATAGTTGCTTCAAAGCTTTAAAGATCAAGGAAAATATTGTCATATAATTATAGCATTTTAAAGATATTTGAATGATATAAATTTAAGGAATTTTTAAACAGAAACTTTTTGAGTGACTGAACATTTTATTTATCTTTAGTTTTCCCTGAAATTTTCTTCACTGCATTGCAGTAACCCAAGATTTACAGAGAAGTCATTCAGAGATACGCTTCGTAGCCGCAAGTTTTTTGGGGGCCAAGGCGTTGGCGTTTATTATGCAAATATTTTAGCCTTAACTTGCGGCTGCAAATTAATATTGCTCAGCTTGGAGCTGCACTTGGAGGTGGAGCTGCAGCTCGAGTTAAACTTCTTTGGCTGAACAATGTCGCATTCATTTAACGGCACTTGGCTGATTGTTATTTAAAGTTCAGTTCATAACAATTGTGGCCATGCCGAGGTGCCTGCGGAGTGCGGAGTGCGGAGTGCCTGCTGATGCTTTGTCCGCTTTGCAATTTACGGCTTTTGCATAGTTAACAACTTGATTGGTAGCGCTGGGCAGTTGGCAGCAGCCTGACATTGAAATGTAGGCCTTGCCATCATCGATGCCCGCCAATGATTGTCGTTGTTGCTGCTGCTGCTGATGTGCTGCTGATGTTGCTGCTGATGTTGCTGATGTTGCTGCTGCTGCTGCGATGTTGTCGTTGCTGTCTTCTTTGTGGCTGTTGTCATGCTGCATAAGTGGAGGACTGGTTGCCGCTGTTGCATAACTAACAATGTTTAGAGCGCATAAATACATGGCCGCGGCAGCAACAACAGTAAGTACAGCAAAACGAACTCCATCTAACATCTAACATTCAGAGTAACGGAGTCCCGCACAAATGCTCATGACATGCAAAGGAATTTCAGTAATGCTGCCCCATGCGGGGCGTGTTTCTCTATGGATCCCGTGGATATAT